GCATGAATGGCTAAATTATACCTTAATTACTTTTACAATAGTTTATGTTTAGACAACAGGTAATAATTGTACAATAAATTAATTAATGAAAGAAGTGGACATTCAATGTAATTATTCAACTACTTGTGAAGGCAATAGTGCAGTGTTTAAATAGAAATAAGTAATATTAATTATTGGTATATACAATTTTCAAAAGAGGAATCGAGTGCCTAGACTAGTATTATACGGTTTATTTGAAAAAAAAAATCAATTAATGTTAACACACTAGTTTTTTAATTAATAATTTTTACAATACACACACTATATCTCTTCGTTTTGGCCTTAATACATCGCTCGGCCTGCGTCTGTAGCTAATTAGTTAAACGTGTTGCCTAAGATTTATTCACGAGATATCGTGGATTCAATTCCCGGGTAAACAATTTGTTTCGGTCGGGTAAGAATAACAAACTAATCAACGACTTTCCGGTAAATGAAACGGCTACAGAGATGTGTTTGTCCCATGGATTAAATTTACGTTAATTTTACAATTAGGAGTTAAATACTGTCTATAGTTTACGCGAGTAGTACACATTTAAATAAAACACTTTAACGGTTTAAAACGCGATATATATTAGTTAAACTTATTTGGAAATGATTTTTAACTTCGGCCCGACGTTTCGGATGCTTTGCAGCAGCCGTGGTCACGGGGAGGGATTAGGAGTTATTAATCAATTTTATAGTCAAAGAAAAACATGTGTTAACGATTTATGATATTGTTTGTTGTTGTTACGTATTTGTCATCATGTACATCAAAATAAAAATCTTCTTAGATACGAAAGCGCACCGGCTGCCGTTGGTTAGAGCAGCGGCACGGATCAATATGGATGCCGGTTCATTTCCCGTCCGTTTCTTTGAATTATTCAATGTTAATAGATAGATAATTTAAGGACACTGTTACGTATTATTGTGTAATACATAAGAACATGTAAAAAAAAGTGTTCATCTCGTTCATTACAATTCTTGTAGTTTAGGATTTTACTAGATTTAAACATACAAAACACACCAGCCTATTAACTAGGATTTGGTTGAATGTCAAACAGTTGACCTATTTCTTAGTTCGGGCATGGATGGCTTGAATGGGGGCTAGTCGAAATATGAGTCATGGCTTTCCCACGTAACCATGATAAACAAGTATTAACTTAAAAAACTGTTAAGTTACACGGTTATATTTTTTGTGCACTGAAAACTATAAAAAAAAATTTTTTGACATAATCGTGTTCTACTAGTGTAGAACCCTTTCATTTGATACCCATATTGAGGGGTTAAGGGAAAATATGTAATTCGCCATTTTGTATCGGCGGCCATTATAGATTTATAATGTTATTGATTTTATTATATTGTATTGTCATCTAAATTAAATGTGTGCCAAATTTCAGATCAATTTGACAACGGGATGGTGCTTAAATTTCAATTTCTAATTTTGACCCAAATAAATAAATTCCGTACGGGCGGAGCTAAATAAAACCGTTTGAAATAGTGAAATGTATGTGAGATTTTGATGAAAATCTTTAGAAAAAACCAAGATTGTCTCATACCATTTTTGCTTAAAGACTTAGAGAGTTTTCTATGTCTATTTCACTTTAAATTAAATACTATCTATAGTTCACGCGAGTAGTACACATTTAAACGAAACACTAACGGTTTGAAACGCGATATATATTAGTTAAACTTATTTGAAAATTATTTTTAATTTCGAATCGAATGCTTTGCAGAAGCTGCAGCAATCCTTTTAGAAAGATTATAATATATTTTGTTATAATCGAAAAAAGGACAATTTAGACATGAAAGGTAGTCAAAACTTGAAACAAAAATAATTATATTTAACTTGCATTCAACAATTATTGTCTCAAAAATTTCTACGGATTCATAAAAAATATGAAATATATCTTTTACGATTAAAGATAATCTAACGTTTAACAATATCTTAAAATATATAAGTACATAATTAATTTTACATCATATAGGCTTTGTTGAAACAAGCACGAGCAGCACTGTGAAATGAAAATGCCTTTAGTTTTTTTTCACAAGCTAATTGCATAAGAAAACATTCGCTTCCATTATTATAATAAGATATTGGGATAAGACGAGTATTCAAAAAATAGAAAGTAGAATATTTAAATAAAACACTGTAATGGTTTAAAACGCGATGTATATTAGTTAAACTTTGTTTGAAAATTATTTTTTCTGCTGCTGCTCCAAAGCAACCGAAACGTCGGGTCAAAGTTAAACATAATTTTCAAATAAGTTTAACTAAAATACATCGCGTTTGAAACCGTTAAATTGTTTTATTTAAATGTGTACTACTCGCGTAAACTACAGACAGTAGAAAGTAGAATAGTTATTAATATCTAATCTCTTGTATTTTTCATAATTTTCCACACCGCAAAGGACAACGTTTTCAGTGATAATTTCGTAGTCTTTGTTTAACATATTTTTTTTTTTTAGTTCTAGTTATTAACGAATAATAATATACGACTTAAGTAAAACTAAGTGTTACTAACCTAACTAACACTTATTAGATTTAAGAAACGGATCGATGGTCTACAATTTTTTTTTAAATTTATAATAGCACAATTGGTTAGAGCTGCACGGAACTGTGAATGCCGAGTCAAGTCCGCTTCGTGTCGTATGTATGTTTGATTTACATTATGTATGATATTAAAGAGAGGATGCTAGTGAACGAGCAAAGAAAGCTATCTTCTGCTTTCTTCATCATGCAGAAATAAAGATTTCGCTGCTGGACGCATGGTGATCATTTAATCTCTAGAGATTAAATGATCACCATGTAGATAAGCCCACAGTGTCGCAATTACTGTACTTAACAGGAGACCCAATGACGTCGTTTTTTGTTCTAGTTGTTCAAAGTTAAGTAAGTATCCAAATACGTAAAAGTATGTTAATTATGAAAAAAAGCTTGCTAAGTAAAGGCAAGGCTTAATGAATCGGGCGTGACTTATCTACCCTGAAGTCTTTTTAGATAGATTGAGAGCTATTTACATATTTATTTAATATACTGTCTGTGCTTTACGCGAGTAGTAAAATGGAAAATGTATTAGTTAAAGTTATTTAAACTACGACCCGACTTCCCGTCACGGGGAAACTAAAAATGGACGGTGGCCTGTCAAAGTAAACTCGGAACAATTGACGGCGCTACGGTAGCGCCATCTGTTCCGTCTTCGTTGGTATTTGGCGTTTTAAGCCGTTAAGAGTGATTTATTTTAATATTTTTACAACACCCTGAAATTGGAGCGTTTGATTTTAATTTTAAAGTACCTACTTGTTTTTTTTTTTTCATGACAGTTTATAATAAATTAAAAATCTATTTAGCAACATAATTACGTAAGTAGGTTGACATTACATTGCGCGAGAGTTGCATGTATCAATGGGTTCGTCTCTGAGTTCGATGACGTGTAGGACACCGGAAGGTGGCAGTTCGTGTCCCGCTCGTGTCGTATTTTTGACAATGTAAATAGTTTTCAGTGTATAATATGTTTTATTATGTGGGAAGCATTTTTTATAAGGACACAATAGCAGAACTATCAGTGTCTTAAAATAAGGCCCTAGATGAACTTTTTATTAGTTATAGATAAGGTGCCAAATAAAACGACATTCTATAGGACTATATTACTGTTTAACATAAAACGAAATAAAGTTTACAACTAGAACCTTATATTTAGGAAATTAATCTAAATAGAACCTTATAATTTCTACATTATATTAACTTAGTTATGATTATCGATAAAAGCGTTCTAAAAAATATATAAATTCGTATTGTATTACATATTTTATGATATTAATTAGATTATTTATTGAGGTTTCGGATGCTTTGCACCATTATTGAAATTAGTAAATATATTTTATTTGGTGTCTACTCTTAATGTATTAAGACAATTAAATTGCCTAATCGACGCGGTTTTCACTATTTGTCCTGACATATAAATTGCTAGTTATGTCCATCAATCAGTATTATATAATATTTTTGCATTGCCTATAAAAGGGTTACAACCTTTTTGTTACAGTTTGGTTTAGGTGTTGCGTAACTTTTTGTGTATACAATAAACTTTGACTTTTGAACAATTTTTACTTTGTAATTTACTCACTGTCTATAGTTTACGCGAGTAGTACACATTTAAATAAAACACTTTAACGGTTTAAAACGTGACCACGGCTGATGCACAGCATCCGAAACGTCGGGCCGAAGTTAAAAATCATTTTCAAATAAGTTTAACTAATATATCGCGTTTTAAACCGTTAAAGTGTTTATTTTAATTTACTTACTATTTTAATTTTTATAAGTAATTAATTATTAGCTACGTACGCATAAGTTGTGATGTCTTGAGTGAATGTACATTCTTCTGGTAATAAATTTCTTCAAACTTAGTCCTACGAAACCCATACGGAATAAAAAGTTGGACCTGCATTGACTGGTTCTTTAGCAATATATATCAGTTAAACAAGAATTTATACAAATAAATTCTATTATTTACTTAAGATCTTAATTTGTAATTTAAAAATCGAACTCGACTCGGGCAGGACTTGAACTGGCTTGAAGGACTTGAATTTATTTTGGATTTTTAAATTATACAGTGTCTTCATGTGCAATAACATGTAAAAAATAATAAAGTTTTCAAACATCATAATTTGTGTTTTAACCGCAATAGTATTTTTACATAAAACACTTTAACGGTTTAAAAGGTGATATAACCGTGTCTCCCCGTGACCATGGCTGCTGCAAAGCATCCGATTCGTCGGGCCGAAGTTAAAAATATTTTCTAATTAAGTTTACCTAATATATATCGCGCTTGAAATCGTTTAATTGATATATTTAAATGTGTACTACTCGCGTAAACTACAGACTTTAGACAATGATTCTGTCACACGACAGATTTAGATTTTTGGTGTTAAGAATATTTTTATACATTTACGAATTACTTATCAATAGATACGTTTGTATGTCTGTGTTAAGATCGCGTATTTAAATTCTCCTTCTCGTGGCTGGATTCAATTAGCCACTGAATCTCTGAATTCTTAGTGTAGTTTGTTCCTTCGGATGCTTCTAGTTCTTTCTTAACTGGTTTGGGGTTCGATTTCTTGATGTAAGCTTTTATGTAGAAGTCTAAGAAGAGTATTAGCATAAACGTGTTCTGTGGTAGGAAAACGGCAGCAGTCCATCTTGGGAAGCCACAATTGGGCATGAAGACTATGCAACCCATGTGTACTACGTTGTGGAAGAATTGTATCTGAAATTGTATTTATTGTTCATAGCATAAATCTACTAGTAGTATAGTATAGTAGTAGTAATCTAGTAGTAGTAGGATCAATTATCAACTTACAGGAGGGAAGTAACAGCGAGAAATATAAAAACGGGAAGAATGATTTTTTGTCGGTTTTCATTGCGTATGCTACGAAAACGGTTTAAGATACCAAAAAATATGTATCGAAGAGTGATTCCTCTTTGAATGATCTAAAAAAATGTCCGCATATATCCGAGATAGTATATGTGTATCTCTCACTATAACTCACAAGAACGACGGGACACGGACGACATCTCTAATATAAGGTCTATATAATCTATATATAAGGTTTGTTTGCAAAAATTAATAATATGCTGTCCAAAATAACTATTCCACGTGGACCAAGTAGCGACCACAACTAGGCATTATATAGTGGTGACAATTTTTTATTAGTTCTCATTCCTACTCTTTCGTTTTCATAACTGCCATTAAAGTTATGTAACTCCAAACATTAGTTTAAATATTAGACTACATTCGGTGTCCGTTTTCACTGAACGGTTTTATTAACAGACAAGTAATTGACCAGACTTCTGTGACCTAAACAAAAAACAAAATTGTTTTCCCGGGATTCGAACCCAGGACCTCTCGCGCTTAATGCTTAACGCATTGCGTTTAACCATGTAGCTACAGAGGCAAAGACATACATAGACTATACTAAATTTAAGTTTATAAATTTAAATTGTAAAATAGTACTTACAATTTGCAACTGCGTTATGTATTTCTTCCACCATAAAGAACCTTTCACACTTGGATATGCCACGGTAAGTAGGTAATAAGAATACATGATGATATGAACAAATGTGTTTATAACTCCGACCATTGTTCCATGGCCACCTGAAAATAATATATTTAACATAAAACTAAATTCAAATTACACAGACATTAAGTTACGAAAAAACGTTATAAATACAAGGGATATAGGATTATATAGGATTGTCTACTATCGTGAACTGTATTTTTGTCTATGGCAAAGTATTTAAATAAAACACATTTAACCGTTTTAAAGCGTGAAACATATAAGGTCATTTTAATTGAATCGTACTTAATATAAATAAATGTTTAGTGAATTTAAGGATTATAAGTAACTAATATAATTCGCGTTTCAAACCGTTAAAAGGATTTTATTAAATGGTTACTGCTAGCGTAAACTACAACAAATTTTATATTACAACGTGATTTAAAAAATCTTTTTTCTTAATCTCTAGATTAGAAAGACGAATTTCGTAACATTAGATATATTTCTTTAATGATAAATTCATTTTATGGTCTGTGTAATACCCCAGGCTATAGCATCTAAATAAGATGCACTGCCGACCCTTTTTAGACTTTGGATATTCGAAAAACCACAGACTGAAACCGAAACGCGATTAAGCTTCACGGCTTTTTCATCTGTGCACGGTGATTGGTGGCCCGGATGGAACTTCTATATTTTTACCGTTTAATATCCAGATTTCCAGATAACGTCCAACACGTTTCAGAAAAATTATACATTGAAAAATTAGAAACATGTCATACCACACAATCCGTTGATTATAAGCCATATATTGCTACCATTTCACCAACATACCTGGGTAATACATGGTAGCTGCCCACGACAAGATCACCATTCCAGCGTGATGGTACACGTGGAGAAAGGATATTTGGTTGAACTTTTTACGGAGAACGAAGAAAACCTGTAAGACGATGACAATACCTCATTTATATCAAATTAACATATTGTTAATAAATATATATCTACATATTGAAATTGAACCTTTGATATTCGGATTTTCCAGACAAAATTACAATCTTTTTTTAGAAGCTCGCTAGACATGGCGGATGTCGAATCCACCATTGGACCAACAAGGCCGTACTCATGGTATTTTTTTTAAATCTAAATAGATTTCAAATTTAGTGAAGATGTTTCTAAAATTACACTGCGGAGGTGCATCAATAAATATGTTGACACGTTAGCTTAACCGGCAGAGCAACAGCACGCTTTCTTTCATCGAGCGAACAGATGTTAGATATGACATCCTTTAGGACACAAATGCAGGAAATGCTTTCCCAAATGTTTGAAACATTTTCAGAAAAACAAAGCCTGCTTTTTGATGATTTACATATGCGAATCAATGACATCGACACCAAATTAACTTCGGTGCAAACATCCAACCAAGAAATTGAGTCCAAATTGTCTACCCTCAATGAGCAAGTCTCTTCGATGCAAAATAAACTTTTAGAAATAGATGATGAACAAAAATCATTAAGCGACAAACTGATTAAGCTGGATATTAGGTTAAGTGGCGTTGAACGGTCATATAAAAAAACCTGTATCGAAATAAGAAATACCCCAAAAGTTTTGAACGAAAAGAAAAATGACCTTTTCAATATGGCATATAATTTGACAAAGTTTCTCGGTATGGAACATTTAAAAGATCGCATACGCGATGTGCATCGATTCCCCGCTTACAAAAATTCTTCAGCTTCAACAATAAATATTGAATTTTCGGACACACTAACTAAATGGAATATTTTAAAGGCCGCTAAGCAGTACAATAGAGAAAACCCAAGTGCAAAATTAAACAGTGTTCATCTAAAAATAAACAGTTCCCAAACACCGTTGTACATCTCGGAATCATTGTCACAATGTACGAAGCAGTTATACTACCTAACTCGGCAATTCATAAAGACCGAAGGATATTTGTTCTGCTGGGTTATAAATGACAAAGTCTACATAAGAGAAAAGGAAGGTGCACCCCATATACTTGTGAAAAGTGAAGAACATCTACAACTCCTAAAAAAATGACTAGGTCATCTTATATTTCATTACTCTTTTTTTCTAAACTATGTTAATTTAAGTACACTATTTTTTTTGCATGGCTATATAAACCCTGCGTATAGAAGCCTATGCTACATTACAAAAACGTTATATATACACATAACAAGTAATCTATTACTGCGCCTCTTTAGCAATAGACATATTACACTCCTTCGTTATTATACAATAATAATATATATTATAAAATTACTTATTATTACATTTACACAACTATACACAAAGTTATATCTATCTATTATATATTATTACACACTCTGCCCTGCTACTGCTCGTCTAGATCGGAATCAATTACTATTTTTCTATAAAATGTATTCAGATCACGATACTGTCGTGGTCGCATATAAAAATCTCAATATGGGCAGACCCGTACTTGGATGCCACTCTGTGTTGTCTGAGTATAGGTTTGTATCAAATGCAATCCTTTGATATGATAGGATCCGATCTGGACAATTTTGCAGTAGCAGAAGAAATAAGATGTGACATCGAAAACGTTCAAAATTATATGTCACATAAAGACACACTTAATATCTTTTCTCAAAATATCCGTAGCATAAACCGTAACATGAACAGTCTTTTAACCATTTTACAAAGATCTAGTACCTTTTGGGACGTACTAGCATTGTCAGAGTGTTGGCTTCCGTGTACTAAAAAACTACCAACAATCAAAAACTACCATTGTGTTTGTACAACAATTCACAAGACTCAAAATGAAGGTGTTGTGTTCTATTATAATAAAAATCTTAAAGCGATCCCAGAAGAAGCTGCAGTTGCTGATGCAAATTGTCTTTTACTAAAAATTAACTCAATTACTTGTATAATAGCCATATATCGTCCACCCAGTTTTTTTAATACAAATAGTTTCATTAATTCTCTAGACCATCTATTAACTAGCTTACGAAACTACAGAAATATTATAATCTGCGGAGATATAAATATAGATATAAAAAAAAATTCGAGTGACAATCGCGCCAGCGAGTATCTAAACCTACTGGCTTCTCATGGCGTGCTACCTGCACACATGTCACCTACACATGGTCGAACTTGTTTAGATCATATGATGGTTAAGACAAAACTGAGTGCTGTGTGCTTTAATATTGAGTCATCTATAACGGACCACGAAAGTGTAGCAATTAGCTTAAGAAATCATTCCCAACAATACACACATAAAAAGGAGGTAAAAACTATAGATTATACTGAGCTTGATAAGACAATAGCAGAAACGAATATTTTCCAAAACATATTACTAGTTGCCAACGTAAATGAAGCTACTACTTTATTATTAAATTATCTATACAACGTGATTACTAAATGTACAAAATTTAAATATATACCCCTCAAAAAAAAAATAATTAAGCCCTGGATAACAAAAGGCCTACTTCGCATAATGAAAAATAGAGATAACCTATATAAAAAATTTAAACGTAATCCTGATGATGATAATATTAAATTAACGTACAAGCGCTACAGAAATTTTTGCAACTCACAAATTAAAAAAGCTAAAAAAGAATTTGATAAAACAGAAATTCAGAATGCTAAAGGCAATACTAAATCGTTATGGAAAGCAATAAAGAATATAAGTAACTACGATAATCCTAAAAAGATATCAAGTCATATGGGCGCTAATAATACCATTGGTAATGTAAATGCTATAAATGACTATTTTGTTAAAGTGGGCTCAAGACTCGCAGAACAAATTATTACTGACAACTCTGAATCTGAACAACATACACTATGTTGTCAAACAAGAAATCCTACTTGTTCATCCCTAAATTCATTTGTTCTGCTACCCTGTAATGAAGTTGAAGTTCATACTATTATAAAAAACTTAAAGAATAAATCTGCATCTGGCAAAGACTTAATAACTAGTAGTATTATAAAAAGATACTGTAATACATTAATTAAACCAATAACTTATATTTGTAATCTTGCAATGGAAACTGGAGTATTCCCTAAAGCCTTTAAAGAAGCACTCGTCACTCCTATTTTTAAGGGAGGTGACACAAATAGCCCCAATAATTTTAGACCAGTATCAATATTACCCACATTATCAAAAATACTAGAACGACTAATGAATAACAGACTTGTGAATTTCCTAGAGACAAATAAGATCCTCTCTCCAAATCAATATGGTTTCAGACGTGGTAAAGCTACTAATGACGCTGTACATGATCTCATAAATACTACTATACTAAATCTGGATAGTAAACTAAAGTGTATTGCTATATTCTTAGACCTAGCCAAAGCTTTTGATACTATTTCCATTCCTTATCTGATTAAAAAGCTTGAGACAGTAGGAGTTAGGGGTATTGCTCTAAAACTTTTTGAAGACTACCTACAAGACCGAACTCAGAGAGTAAGGATTATAGGGCAAGATCTACTAAGCGATAGCCTACCACTAAATTACGGCGTACCACAAGGCAGCATACTCGGCCCAACGCTATTTTTGGTCTATCTGAACGATCTATGCAGTCTTAAGATACCCCAGTGCAAAATTATTACCTTCGCCGATGACACTGCACTTTTATTCACAGAAGAAAATTGGGCGACGGTCTTTAAACGCGCTCAGTCAGGACTAGATCAAGTTTTAAACTGGCTTCAATGTAATAAACTAACACTAAACGTGACAAAAACGAAATATATGGCTTTTGCCCACAAACCTAACCTACTACCAGGTCCAGACCTTAATATTAAAGCTCATACTTGTACTAAAATGACGCCAAACTGCAAATGTTATTTCCTGGATAGAGTGGAGCATTTTAAATACCTTGGCGTAATGGTTGACCAATGTCTAAATTTCAAATCGCATATAAATACACTAGTTATTAGAATTCGAAAACTTATATACATTTTTAAAGAACTTAGACACATCTCAGATATAAATATTATCAAAATGGTCTATTACGCAATAGTTCAGTCCGTAATTGGATACTGTATTATTTCCTGGGGAGGGAGTGCAAAGACTCACCTCATTGAACTAGAGAGAACGCAAAGATGTATCCTTAAAGTAGGCGCAAATCTTCCTTATCGTTCTCCTACAACTGAACTGTACAAAATGTGGGGTGTACTCACTGTGCGTCAATTATTTATCTTACAAATCATATTGAAGAAACATTCAGAGCTACCATACGAACCAAATCTCCTAAAAAATAAACGACGAAAATATAATGTCTGCCCATCAATCACCTACCGTACCTCACATTCCCAACACTTTTACTGTTATCTTGGCCCATTTCTCTATAATAAACTAAATTACAACCTTAAAATATATAGTCAAAACTTATATCTTTGTAAAAAAAATATCACAAACTTCTTAAAATCACTCAATTACACAGAGACAGAAAGGTTTCTCACCCCTATCAGCTAAATTCTAAACATAACAATTATAACAAATACGGATATTACACCCATGCAACATACACATATACATACCTACACACCAACACAATTACACTCTTATATATATATAATAAAAACGCAGAGGCTTTTCTAAGTTGTAACTCTAGGTACTAAGTTCTTTTTTATATTGTCCAAATAATTTTATAGTGAGCTCGCGGCGAGGGGGGCTGGTGACTTGTATCACAGGTTATTATACCTACAGCAGGCACCAGGCTCTCACAACGTGATACATGTAAAATTAGTTACTTGTAAGTTTATTGAAACACTGTAAAGTTGTGAGTGCTAAATAAATAAAATAAATTATAAAAATAAATTATTGTGGAGTGGTTGTTCGTGTCATCATATTTTATAACACTTTATAATTCAATTAATTAAATGCGAATTCCTAAGTTCGTAAACAATTAAACTGTTTTGTGTATATTCATATTACAACGACCGAAATACTTTGAACAGTTTGAAGTCAATAATCTAATTATAAATATTCATAATTGTGATTTGGGTAGATCACTTGTGTTTATGTAAAAAAACTTAATTCTAAACGAAGATCAACGTACAATGACCTATAGACCAGCAAAATTTTAAATATTATTCGAATAACTAAGCTAGTTTTTATAATTTGTATAGGTGTAGCTTATTTGTCATGGCTCAGTTTGCATTTAGTTGGTATATTAGCTCTAAAACTATACTAACGGTATCCATCAAATCGACGATTTTCAGCAAATAGTAGTAATAGACAAACTTCGCCATCCGAAGACCTGATTCTGAATAAGAGAAGTCGACAGGTTGGCATATCCATTTGTATTCTGTGACCCATATTTGTACAGCCTGAAATATAAAGAACAAAACTATAAGAACACTTAAAAAGGCTATCCACCTCCTAAATAGTTAATAGTTAGGTGAGCCGACCATTGTCGCCAGAAGTCGAGAGGTGTCTGTTAAAAAACTAAAGACTGTAAATTTACAATCAGAACAAAGGCGTAGAACGACCGAGAAGAACTGACAAGAAACTCGCCGTCACTGCTTTTATCGCCAAGTTTCATTTTACAGTCTTCAAGTACTTTGAAGATACTGTATATTTTTTCTTGTTAGAGCGAGAGCCATTCCCCAAGAATTTTTATAGCTTTAATATTGATTAACGTCATGTAACCCTTTCGAAGCAGTTTTGGTTTTAGATACGATTTAAACTTTCTTGACAGTGCTTGCAGTTCACTGGCGATTTTCTTTAAATGACATGGCAATGGGGCAATTTACCATTAGTCATTATACGTTCTCCAGTCTTAAAAGCATAGTTTCAGAGGATTCAAACTCTCAAGGTCACTAGGCATTATCGACTAAGCGACAGAAGTAATCTATATTCTATATACATATATAAAGCTGAAGAGTTTGTTTCTTTGGACGCGCTAATATCAGGAACTACTGAATTGAATGAAATCTTTTTATGTTGATTAGAGCGTTTATCGAGGAAGGTTATAGGCTGTAAAACATCGCGCTGTGTCTAATATATGGAGCGAAGAAACAGCGAGAAATATGAAAAAAAGGGGAAAGTTATTCATCTTTGTGAAAATTCCGATGCGTACGCTGCGAAAACGGTTCAAGATACCCAAACAATACGTATGTACGTACTCTGAAATGATCTAAAAAAAGTCGGCGACAGTATATGTCTACCCTTTAGAATTAAGTTTCAAGAACGGCGGGACGCGACGAAGAGGTTTGCAAAAGCAAATTTAGATTCCCAAAATTGCTTTTCTACGCGACGCAGTCGCTGATACAGCTAGTAAATAGATAATTACTTAGGCACATCCGCGTCGGGTTCCTTCGTGAATTATTCCTGATCGTGACCCCACATTAATATTTTATGTAGAGCATTAATTCATTGCGTAACAATGAATTCACTCAATGTTACAAATAGGTCGAGCAAACGTTAATCAATATGGAAATCACCCTTAATACTTGAAATATGTTCCTTACTTCATGTGTCTATATATTAAAAATCGATTATAAATTTAAAAAACAAGCAATGACACTGGAAGGACTTAAGCTTAACCAAATAAGCCACCGTGTCAATGACTAAGGCTAAAGTAGCTAATTAGTAGATAGAGAGGTAGCTTAATTTCTTGGAGCAGCACGGCACTCTGTGGATGCCTGTTCGAATCCTGCGCTAGTCGTAATTTTTTCAATTTATAATAGATTTTAATTTTCAACAATTTTCGGCTTTATTAGATCATTTTTAATGTGAGAGGATAGACAAGCATTTTGGTTAATTCTTACTATTTAGTTAATTCTTATTATTTATTCGAAAATATACAGACTGCAACCATAACGCGATTAAACTTGATGGCTTTTTCATATGTGCACGGTAAATCGTGATGCGGTCGACAAACCTAGATATCCGTTACTATTTTTTTTTTTTAATATACAACGAAATAAGTACCTAATCACACAATATGTAAAACACTTAACGTTTTAAAATATATTATACAACGGTATTCGAACTATATACATAAATAAAATAAAATCAAGATTCTAGGCCGCCAACACTTCTAGTGTTGATGGCTCAATAGATTTTACGATTTAAAAAAAAAACATATTCCTGAACAAGTTATTGATTTAAAAAAAAAATACTTTAAATGATTCAAAACGTTTCAAGTTTGCGTCTAAACGTATTTTATTTAACATATATAACTCATGTAAGCTCTAGAGTACTCGGGCGAGGGGTTAGTAAGACAATCAAGAAACACTGCATTACATGGTTTCGAACCAAAAATTTATTTATAAAAAAAAAATTTTTTAACCTAATAAAACTTCCGTGTTTGTTAAGTTAAAAAATAATGACACCCATATGAATAGATTGTCAAGTGTCTAAATTACAGTAAAAACCTAGCTTCTTATGTAATTGTATAATAAAAAAATACAATAAAAAATAAATACTTTCTACTAAATACAAATCCTTAAAATGGAGGTTGTCATTTATGTGAAGTTTACTAGTTTTACTTATTATTTACATACGAAAGATATAACTTTGTCTTAATAATAATCGTTGAGAAAAACGTGGGACTACCCGTAAATCGAGTATGACAAATCGATAATGTGCTGATTATCTATACTTTCTTAAAAGTTTCACATCGCAGCAATATTGCTTAAAGTGTTCCTTTTTCTTAACTTTGGCATGGGGCAAATATTATTGTGTACCATTTAGTTATTGACAATTAAATTATCAGCCTCCACTCCAAAAATATTGTGAGCCCTACTCAAACAAATCATTGATTCTTTTTTACCCAGAATATGAACCCACGATCTATCTCATTCTGAACGTAATGCGTTATAAGAACTGAACTCGGGCAGTCACTAACGATGCATGAATATCTTGAAAAGTAATCATAACCGACTGAGCTGTGTCAGCGACTTTGTCCGTTTAGACTAGAGGAATCTTTGTTTCAAACCGTTTTCGCAGTGGAATCGTAAACCCACAAAGAGAATAATCCCCGTTTTTTCTATATTTCCCGCTGTTTCTTTGCTACTGTAAGTCATATCGCGGTGTTTTATAGCCTCTAGCCTTCCTCAATAAAAGCTCGAACTAACATAGTTCCTGAGATTAGCGCGTTCGACCAAACAAACAAACTCTTTAGCTTTTTATATCACTAGCTGCGTCAGCGACTTCGTCCGCGCGGAATACTTATTTTGGGCATCCAAATTTAGCCTTTCTCGATAACTGTTTACAACAACAACAACTGTTGAACAAGTAGTTTCTGAGATTAGAGCGTTCAAATAAACAAACATAAACTCTCGCTTTATATATTCCGACCTGCCCCGGCTTCGCTCGGGTACAATACTGTTACTAAAAAACCCTACAGAAAAACTGTGAACGTTGTAAATAAAAACCTTCCTCTTGAATCACTCGAACTATTAAAAAAAAAGGCATCAAAATCCATCGCATAGTTTTAAAGATTTAAGCGCACATAGGGACAGAAAAAAGCGACCTTATTACTATGTACTGGAAAATAGATTATATATTAACTTTGTTACAAAAAAACGTCTGATCGCTAATGAATTGTAATTTTATTCGACCCGGTAAAAATTGAACTACTGTCAAGTCAACAATGTCAGACTTTAACTACACGGAAAGCATATTATCATAATTAGTCTGTACCTATTATTTTAATATTTCGAACGTATGAAATCATTATAAATTGCTTAGATGTCTTGTCTTTTAATTTGTCTACAATATGTAAAACTGAAAAGTTTGTTTGTTTGAACGCGCTAACCTCAAGAACTACAGGTTTGAATTGAAAAATATTTGTGTGTTAGTTAGAGCATTTATCGAGGAAATCCATAGGCTATAAAACATCGCCCTGTGACAAATACAACCTAAGATACAGCAGGAAATGTGAAAAAAATTGGGAACATTATTCATCAATTATATATCATGGGTTATCGAGGCGTACGCTGCAAGAACGGTTCAAGATACCCAAATAATATTGCTACCACTACACAAACGAATACTTACGCCAATAAAACAGTAGGCACATATGATCACTTGAACTATATTATACACTATAAGCAGTCTCTCTATGTCAAACGGTTTCCTATTCTTCATCCACGCTGGGCCCCATTTCATTACGAAGAACAGGTACAGCACTAGCAACGACATGCCGATATGGGGCTTTCCAACTAGCGGCCATACCTTCGTTCTTGGGTCTGAAATTGAAGAACATTTTCGTTTAACATAACACTGACAACTACTTGTTGTACAAACTACCCTAAAAGTTAGCGATGTATCATCGTATCAATTCAAAAATGTATGACTACGAGTACCTATAGTTTCGGTGTCATAAACAAACAAAACGAATTAAATTAAAAGAAATATATATTTATTATTATGTTGTTATGTTACATGTTATTGCATATTATGGCACTATATAAATTAAAAATCTATTAGAAATTGAAAAAAATTACTACGCGGGCAGGACTTGAACATTGGCATTGTTGCCTGTCCTGGTTAGCCCGAATCAATTTTTTTAATGTCTAATCGATTATTTTAATTATATTAATTATTTATTTATATTATTATTTATTATCTTGTGAAAATAGTAAAGGTTTCAAACAAATATATTTATTATTTCTTCAGAAATTTTAGTACAGAATTCTTTCTGTAATAAGTAAGTTATGAGTATTTTTAATGTCTTATTAGAAATAATTTAAGTATTGTCTGTAGTTAACGCGAGCAGTGCACATTTAAATTAACACATATAACGGTTTAAAACACAAAATACTACTAAATCCGAAACATCCGAGTTTAAATAAATAATAAATAAGTTAACTAACATGTTTTACGTTTTAAACCATTAAAACTTGTTACATATCGAAAATATTTATATACGGATGTTTTTTATGGTTCATTTTTTACATATATAAAAGAGAAGAATAATTGAACTATAATGTATATACTTAAATAAATATAGGTGGCTGAAAATGATATAAATAGTTTTTTTCACCGTGCTAATAAAGCCTACATCTAGTGCAATAGTCGTTCCGTGTTAATTCAAAATACTATTTCATAGATAGTATTTATCCTAGTTTATTAAAAATGTCTTTACCCCATGCCCCATTGCCACGGGGCAAACACTTAGTATTATTTTATTTTTCGAAACTTAACGAAATCTAATTTCAAAACTATTTCATTATATTTGCAAATGCTATGTTCTATAAAAATACCTAACTTACCACCAATTTCATCAAACACATAATTGTAACCCTTGATAATATTCCATATTAGCGTAGCCATTTTAATCAAAATAAATACAAATTAGTCTTAACTATTTTGACTATAATTCGTAACAAATAAACACAACCGAATGTTGAATAGAAAATGCACAATAACTAGTCAACACGACCTACGGTGGTCGCACTAAGCAAAAAAATACCACACAAAATTACGCTTATAAAATGGACACTTTAATTAATATTATAATGTATTACACGTTCATTGCTCTTTTTACAACTCATTCGATTGCTTTGGAATTCGGCATTAATTTGAACCTTGTCACTTGGTATACTCGTGTAATAGGCGAAAGACATTTCACAATTTTCAAGATACTATATACCTTAAAAATCTCTGTCTTCTATGTTCTTATTTCTATCTCATGAGCTTTTGATGAGCTCATTGGTCAACAAGCAACGCTAATAATCCACAAGTTGTGAGTTTGACTCTCTAATTAGTCTAAAATATGTTACATTTCGTCTGTAAATCTAGATATCAAATGGGTGATAGAAATATCGATTCCATCCGGGTCACGCACCACCGTCCACAAAAAGCCGAGAAGCGAGTTTCGATTTCAGTATGTGGATTTCCGAATTTCTAATCCCAAACTTGTCTGTTCTGTTTTATAAAAAAACATTTTAATTTGATTTTATTAAAAATAACGCAACATATATGATCTAGGGATCCAACACAGACATATTAACCCCACGAAGGGCTAGTAGTACTAAGCCTAAAATATAAAAGTAGACACGAGTCTACTTGCTAGAATTTATGTACTTCAATATGAGGCTAAGCAAAAGCCAAACGACATTTACATACATGTAAGTAACTTTATAAATTGTATTCCAACGCCTGAATATACAATTAGCAAACGTGCTTTCATACAACTGAACAGAACATCGTTAAGGAGTTAAAGATAACGACCCGCCGAACGTTTCGCAAAAAAATTTAACATCAAAAATTCAAATTTTACCATATTATTTTGAACTTAAAACAATGTTTTAAAACTTTTAGATTTGTAGCCTTGCCCTGAATGATATTAATTGACCGGCCCGCGGCAATATTTTTTTTGTTGATATTCTGGCCCGCTTGAGAAAAAGTTTGCCCGCCCTGGGACTAGACTACGAATACTCTTATTGAAGCAGATTTTGTGTATATGAAAACCTGAGTCATCCATTTTACCAACTGCTATTCGATTGAATTAATCAAACGATTGGCTACAAATTTGTTATTCAAATGTTTAAGACTTTTTGAAGGATGTTGGCGACGTTTCAAGACACGCTTCATGACATGTGCTCGGGGCATGAGGTGGCATGACGTGGAAATAAGTGTTGTCATAGCTATAAAATTATTTAAAGCGTACTTGACCAGTGTTAACAGTACATTGGTAATCACTAAAGGGTCATTTTGTTTCTGTCTCCTATGTTCTTATTTCTATCCAGTCTATTCGATAACGTTTCTAAATATGTGACATCTAATAATTTGGTCGTACAAATAAAATATTGTCAGCGCGATACGAATCCACAGATAATAAATCTGAGAAGTGTAAAATTGCGCTTAGCTTGCGTAAGTCTGCGGATTTTGAAGTTGACCATTAGTGCATTATTATAATAATTGTATAATTTGACATTCTATTAAATTATTCTCTTATGGTCAGATAATGAATTAAAACACGGCAAATAATTATGGAACAACATATTTGAACTGCCATATATTTTGTACTGATTAAAACAAGTACTAGTCTAGTCTTAACATGACTTATTAAATTCTATGATATTTTAGTTTTCCGCTTTTCACTTTTCCCATTTTTCGTACTATTTACACATTTTTAATTTCACATTTCTAACTAACAGTACTAAAGTTATTAAAAATTTGCCTTAAACATTAAAAAATATTAATTTTAAGTAACCAGTAATAGCAATTCTACTTTCTTTATACATTACAGGCTTGGACCTTGGCCTTCCACAATATAGCTGAGCAGCTGAGCAGCTGGACGGATGCTCACTAGAGTGAGGGTACGCGGAACAAGGGACGTTACGTTCACATGCTCTTCCAGGGGTTGTTTTAAGAACAATATACTCTGTCAACATAGAATTTCTTTTTATTTCAACGAAGGAAGGATAGTATAACAAAAAAACTTATTTTAAATGCTTTATTAGTTCTCATAACTGCCTCACAAGGTCATTTTCAAAATTAGGCTTTCGTTGTCTTACAATACTTTCTTCGAATGTTTTCTCCTTATTTAAACTGTCTATTGTTTCAGTGGGTTTTGCTTTGGGTTTTCTGATGTATGTCTTTATGTAGAAGTCTAAGAAAAGTGTCAACATGAAGAGGTCGTTTGGAAGAAAGACAATGGCAATCCAACGTGGATAAGCGCAGTCTGGTTTGAAGACTAACACCAGCATGTGTAGACAGCACCATGCTAGTTGTATCTGAAATTAGAGAATATCCATCAAAGTAACTATTTAAATAAAATACTTTAACGGTTTAAAACCCGATATATTAGTTAAACTTATTTGAAAATGATCTTCCTGTGACCACGGCTGCTGCAAAGCATCCGAAACATCGGGCCAATGTTAAAAATCATTTTTAAATAAGTTTAACTGATATATCACGTTTTAAAGCATTAAAGTGTTTTATTTAAATGTGTACTACTCGCGTAAACTATAGACTAGTTTACGCGAGTGTTCAAAATAACTATTACTAAAATATTGTCTGTAGTTTACGCGAGTACACAATTATAAACAAAAACACTTTGAACGGTTTAAAACGCAATTGTAAACTCATTAACACATTCTTTTAATTATGGCCCGCCGTTTCGTAAACGCAAAGACACCGTTACTTCTGTAAGGACCTGGCCAGTTTCGCCAAGTTCCAACTATGATGAAACAGATGGCGCTAGCGTAGTTTTTACTTTGACATTAGAGACAACCGTCAATTTTAGCTTCCCCGTGACCACGGCTCCTACAAAGTTTTCGAAACGTCGGCCCGTAATTATAATTATTTGTAAGTAAGTTTAACTAATACAACTCGCGTTTTTAACTATTAAAAGTGTTTTATTTTTCAAATGAAATAGATTATAAATATATTAATATCTTAGAAGTTAGAACCTACACTTTCCTTTTACAGGGTCTGAAAATCAATGCTTCTGAGTATGACGGGCACTCAGCAACACATTGTCATTTCTGATATATTTATTTTAAATTATTTGTTATTAATTTAAGTTTTGTTTTTTGTGTTGCTAAGAGCTTTAAAGAATTTGACTTTCCCTCAGATGGCGTTTAAATGGTAGAACCACAAGAATGGTAGTTCCAAGAGCCACCATCCCTGTACCAAATACTACTTAAAAATAAGATTACTCAAACTTGAATTATTCATCGTTATATTTTTAAACTTATACATACGATTTGCAATTGCGTAATATGTTTTTTCCACCATATGGATTTCTTAACGCTGGGAACAGCAACTGTTAGGAGGTAATAGCTATACATCACGACGTGTACAAAGGAGTTCACCATGCCGACTAATGTTCCATGACCACCTGGAAGAAATATGCAATATTAAAAAAAATTAAATAATGGCGACATGGGCGGGACCTGAACATCCATAGTATTGCAGCTGGTACAATTCCGCTGGTGTCGTAACACTTTTTTTTTAGTCGAAATTGATTTTTAATCTATGTAGTGCCATCATATTGTGTAATCTAACCGAGTGAAAAATCTATACTAATATATAAAGATGAAGAGTTTGTTTGTTTGAACGCGCTAATCTCAGAAACTACGGGTTAGAATTAAAAAATTATTTTTGTGTTAGTTAGAGCATTTATCGAGCCTTATAGACTATAAAACATCGGCCTTGTGACTAATAAAAGCAAAGATACAGCAGTATGTATGAAAAATTTAGGAAAATTATTTATCATTATAGGTTTCCGAGGCGTACGCTGCAAAAAGCCGAAGATACCCAAAAATATGTACAAGAGAATAATTCTTCTTTAAGTTTTCTAAAAAAAAGTCCGAACAAAGACGCAATATGTTTATCTTTTATGATTAACTTGCAAGAACGACGGGAAGGGACGTGACCGGCGTCGTGGGTAACAAACAGCTTAAGTCTATGAAGAAAAAGGGGTTTGCAAAAACGAATCGAAATCTTATTACAATTATATTAGTACATTTATCATATTAAAAATTACTTTAAAAAATGCACTAATACATTTGACACAGAAACGATAACTCGAACTCAATATTTCGACTATTTAATATTCATAAAAGTACAGACTGATTGGCATGACAGAATTACACAACAATATAATTTAGTTAAGTTCTCTTGTGTCACTTTTTCAAGAAAACTTCTGAATTAGATTATTAAACGCCCTAATTATTTAACAAGTAGATACTACCTACGTCATATTCTTCATCTTGAACATTATATGACACTAAATAAAAAGTCAAGTTTATCCTTTGTGGGCCATGGGATGTTTGGCATGCTTTTTGAACACTACTCGACTGAAACTGTTTTGCCGGGATTCGAACCAGGTAGCTAAGCTACAATTTAAAAACTGAGCGTCGGAGGCAGAGAAACAAAATATACTTCAAACATTTGTTTCTTAATTTTTTTGAAATAGTGAAAGACAGAGAAGCACTTTTATTAGAAAAATGTTGGTCTCGATTTGGGACAGAACCCACGACGTTGATTATTTATTAACCATACATTTCTACCATTACACCAATGAACACGTCAAATATAGGTTTTATTTTATTCATATTTACCTGGGAAGTAAGTGCTAGCACCCCAAATCAACATCACCATACCGGTATGGTGGTAGACATGGAGGAATGACACTTGGTTGAATTTCTTCCTTAGCACAAAGAATACCTGTAACACAAATTTAAATTATTAAGTTTTTAATATGTGACTGAAACTGACACAGTTATATGTTTAATATTTTTTGCAGAAAATTCAGTTAAATTGGAATAACCCGATCATTGTCTTTCGGGCTGTTCAGCTGACATCATCTAATGTTAACTTCTCGATTGCTCGAAGAATTAGCATAATTCTGTGAAAGCCTTACATAATTTATGAAATAACCCTGTCTAAAGTTCTAGATCTAGTCCTAGGCTAATTTCATAATTTTTGATTCCATCCGTCTCGTTTAGAGTTATTTTACTATGAAAAACTTAATAAAGCTGTAACTACAATACAAGTATATGTACTACTCAATTTAAACCAGATTAAATTACTTTTTTTACTTTTCGTATTTATATAGAGAACTGAAATATTTTATATAGAATTGAAAAGTAATTAATGGCAATTCTAGCATTTTCTTTGGGCATGGACTTTTTTTTTGCCAACCTCCTCTCCATCTCAATACAATTTAAGCTATTGCTCATGACGTCGGTCAAATCCCGTCGTTCTTGCGTCGATAGCGTGGAGGAAATTTTTTTTATCACGTAGAGAAGAATCATTCGTTTATACACATTATTTGGGTATCTTGAACCGTTTTCGCAGCGTACGCAACTGAAGTCCACAAAGATGATTGCTTTTCCCCGTTTTCTCGCTCCTATTAGTTGCATCGTGGTGTTTTATAGCTCGTAGCTTTGCTCGATAAATCTTTTAACTAACACAAAATTCCCACCAGTAGTTTCTAAGATTAGCGCATTCAAACAAACAAACTCTTCAGCTTTATATATTAGTATAGATATATCTTAAGCTTAAATAGAAGAATGAGAACCAAGAGGGATTCACAGTTACCGTATCTATTAGGTCAAGATACTTCAGCATATAGTAGTGATAAACGAAGTTAGCGGCTCTTAGTGCATCTTGACTGTCACTGTAGTCGATCGGTTCACAGAACCATTTGTATTTCCATCCCCAAGCATATACAATCATCTAAAAAAAAAAAAAAAAATTTTATCTCAAACGATACTTAAACAATATTTTAATGTATTTTAATGACTAAATATAGTAAATACTTTTAAATAAAACACTTTAACGGTTTAAAACGCGATATATTAGTTAAACTTATTTGAAAATGATTTTTAACTCCGCCCCGACGTTTCGGATGCTTTGCAGCAGCCGTGGTCACGGGGAGACCCGTGTGAAGTTTAACTAATATATCGCGTTTTAAACCGTTAAAGTGTTTTATGTAAATATAGTAAAGTCAACGTTTATGTAACTAGTATATATTGTGAGATCTTACTAAGGGAGACAGGGACGACATATTTTTATGTCTGTTTCAAAATCTTTTTTTTATCGAGTAATTAGTCTAACTCTAAACTTATGAGAATTAAAATAATAATTATGAGATTCCTCCTGGAGTTCGAATCTATCATTCTAAACCTAATTTAGCTATGGTGTTTACCATAGAGCTACGGAATAAAGCATGCACATGCGACGTGGATGCGGCTTGGATGTCAATCGACAGACGACAAATATGGCGCCTATATAAGTAACTAGTGCGTATAATTCACTATATGCCGACAATTTGTAAACACTGAATAATTTTATAATACAATATGTGGATGTAACTACTTTACTGTAATATTAAAAACATTTGACGGACTCGTTACTCTAATGGTAGCAATGTAGGGTAATAACCAACAGGTCGTAAATTCGATCCCCACCAGGTCCAAGTTTTAATTTTTCAATTTATAATTTTTGAAACATGTTGGACTTCGTCTGGAAATCTGGATATTGAATGGCTGGTAGGAATATCTAAACGCCATCTGGGTCACGAACCACCGTCCACAGATGGAAAAGCCGTGAAGCTCAATCGCGTTTCGGTTGCAGTCTGTGGATTTCCGAATATCCAAAGCCAAAATAGGTCGACAGCGCACCTCGTTTAGATGCTATGAGGCTGGGGTATATCACATAGCATTAAGACCCATGTCTGTCTGTCCTCGACTATCATTAAACAAATGAAATTCAACGTCGAGCATAACAAAAAACATAATGTCGATGTTTAAAAAATTATAAGTATATAGTTTTTTAAACATTTTTTGCTGTGATCTATGTTTAATACGCATTTAAATTAACACCATTATAATATGTTTATTTCGGGTTTTAAATCGTCTTTAGTATTTTATATACATTTCTAGGTCAACGGTCGCTATAGGCCTTTTAAATGTCAAATATTTTTACTCCTACGCATTATTATTTTGCGGAAATCACGGTATTACGCGTTCAATCAATTGTGTTCATAGTTACGTATTTTAATTTATTATTAATGGGGTTTTCCAATAGCGAAAATTAAATAAATGGATAACACTTACAATTAAAATTTTACAGTTTTTTAAATTTTCAAGTCAAAAAACCGAATACTTAATTTTTAACACAATTAAAGTATTCATATGACAATTCAAAATCAGTATGTAATTGTTATTCTCTGCCTCTGCAGTTAAATGGTTAAACGTGTTGCCTAGTCATGTGTTAAGGCGAGAGGCCCTGGGTTCGAATCCCAAGGAAACAATAGATCGTTACGTTAGTGTAGACTATGAATAAAACTGGCTACGGAAGGACACGAAAATGTGCTCGTCCCATGCCCCACGAAGTAAACAGGATTTTACCTATGTAGGTCGAAAGTGGTTTTAGAGTAGAATTCGTGTACAAAATTTTGGTCCTAAAACAGGAGACGAGGAGTCTATACATGTCATATATATTCCGTAAATACCAAACCGTTGGTAAGAGGCAATACTTTAAACAGGGAAGGATTAATATTACTACATATGTATAACACACGGGGAAAAGATACCAATATGCTAATGCTGGAAAGAATTAGTTTCTTAGTACCTGATCAGTACATACATGAGTGGCTTATAAAAGTACCCTTTGCTAAAACGAATTTGTTAGGAAAAGCGTCCTGGACAAAAGCAATAGAGGTAGTAAACTTACTTCATAGACAAAAAGATACTTTCTATGATGCACGAAGTGAGCTCGTGAAGTGTTTACAGTTTATGATTTCATGTGGGTTATAAAATAATAAGTAGATAATTACTAATAGTAAACTAATGATATTTAATATTAGTTAATGTTCGTTATAAGTCATAGTTTAATTGTATTGTATATTTCTATGTTAGTTTTTAAGTTCCGTGTTGAATTGGGCTCCCACCTGTCATGACATTGTCATTTTAATGATTAAATAAATAAATAATTATGCATTCATATACTGCCTGTAGTTTACGCTAGTACACAAACACCTAAACGGTTTAAAACTAATTTAAGTAGTTAAAACGATTACCCTATCTATTGACAATTGACGCGAGTACAGTACATTTAAATAAAACACTTAAAACGGCTTAAAACGCTATATATTTGACCGACCCGACGACCCGACGTTGATGTCAACGTCGGGTCATAGTTAAAAATTAAGCTCATTAATATCGCGTTTTAAACCGTTAAAGTGTGTTATTTAAATATCTACACGTGGGTGCTTGAATTATTATTGAAAGGTCAAAAACAAAATGTCTACATAGGGAATAATCTTATGCAAATACCGTTTTGTGCGTGGTTAATGACTTGTATAATTTTATGAAACGTCCTTAGGCGCAAGGTTCAAGTGACAAGTTACAGTACAGTTTTAGTGACATTTGAATGAATTTACTTTGATTATAAATGTGTTAGGCCTATATTAATATCCTCGTAACTTCAGCTAGAAGTCCCCAATCAAAGTATGTTCCTCCGTTTCACGTGAATTAAACAAACATAATTTAAAGAATGTTATTTGATGTCACTAGCTGAATTTTACTCACGTCATTGTGCTACGGAAATTTTTTTATGACATTTTCATGAGTATGAAAAAAATGCTGATATATAAGTCTACAACAAAAAGGGGGCGCTAAATAAAAGCGGACAGTTAGCTGCCTGAAAGAGACACAAACAGTACGCTTAAATTTTTCGTATAACACTAATATAAATAACGCCATCCGAAATTTCGTATGGCTAAGAGGAGGGGAGTAAGTTAGCTTCAATTTTGCGCGTTTTAAACCGTTGAAAGTATGTTTATGTGTTGACGGGCTCGTTAGTCTACGATGACAATGTATGGCATGTGTAGCCCCACGGATCCAAAATGTTTCTAATCAATTTATATTTCTTGTAACAGATTTCGACTACAAAACGACAAAGATAGAGAAACAGATTTCGACTAGAAATCTGTATATTAAATTGATGGTAAGTACACCAACGTCAACAGATGTAAAAACAGTGCTGTTTAATGGCGTTTCGATTTCAGTCTGTGACTTTACGAATGTCCAATGCCAAAATAGGTAGATACGCATCTTGTTTAGATGTTATGTGGCTGAGGTATTTCACCTTCTGTCAAATGAACCCCCTTATCTGTGCCCCCCCCTCTTGTGTCATAAAAAATACTGTGTGTGTGTGTGTGTACACATACCTCGTAGAACGTATACCCACAAGCTAATACTTGTATTAGATTATGTATTATCATAAGTTTGTCTACATTGAATGGTGGTCTATTTTTCATCCAGTTAGGTCCTACTTTCAGAACGAAAAGCAGATATAAACCGAGGATGCACAGTCCTTGATAAGGTTTTGCAACGAGGAACCATGTTTTCGTTCTGGGATCTGAAACGAAATGTTGGTTTTATTAGTACGTATTGGAAACTTTAGTTTAGGAATTAATCTATTAACGTAGTAATACTTTATTTTCACGTTTAATACGTTTTTTTTATTAATATAAAACACTTTTTACGGTTTAAAAGGCGATATATATAATTGAATTTTATTTTGGCCCGATGTTTCGGATGTCAAGTAATATAAATTGCGTTTGAAACCGTTTTATTTAAATGTGTTCCTCTCCTGTAAATCGTAGGTTATTTTTTTATCGAAACTGGTGAGTTTAATAAAAAAATTACAAGATAAATAATACAGGGGTCTATCTTTTACCTTCTTAAGTATAAAGTTAAGCAATTAAACACATAAAGACTGTATTTTGCTTCGTTGTAAAAATTATGATATATTTTGATTCATGCCCCAAAGTACTATGATGACAGGAAACCAAGAAAAATGACCTAAATAGAGTCATGGGGTTGTCTGCTACAAAGAAATGATGTAGTTAACCAACCTGCAAGTTCGTCGAAAATAAAACCATATCCACGCCAGATGGTTTTTATGAGTGTTGCCATCTCTGAAACATTAAAACCGAATATTATTATTTCCCAGGGAAAAAGGCCTCGTTGGTCTAATATGCCAATTTTGATCGTGAGGTGTTGGACAAAAAAGGTTTCTCTTCTCTATCATATCTGACACATGAAAAGCCATGTCGCATTTAGTAGTATAATATAGCAGAAACCTAGCTTTAACTTGTAAAGTATTCAATATTACTGTAATATAGTGAAACCCCGTTCCCCCTATGGGGCAATTCTGAACACAATTTTGAGTCCGTTTCATTAATCGATATTAAGAACACGTTAGATGATCAGACATCTGTGCCCTGTATGACCGATATTGTTATTTGTCTCCTAGGGGTTCGAACCCAGAACGCCTCATGTTTGATTGACTACTGAGTCCAGTGGCGGTAAAACTTTTATATAATTGTAACAATGATATAGAAATCGTTGTAAATAAGAAGAATTATTTTATAAATAACTCACCCTTTGAACTATTACACTTCCTATATTATTATATAGTTATTAAGTAATTGTGTTATTTCGAAATCAGTTACGCAGCCATTCTTTCAGGGCTGACAGTGTAAAGTAATATTTAATTTTCAATTCCATTCCCACTTTGTCGTTCTATATTTGAAATTGTAATTTCGTCATTTGCATTGCAAAACCACGCCGAAAGGTTTATGTAGTACGTAAACTACGGCTTGTCGTTCTCTAGACAAAAGAGGCGACACTATGAGAAGGAACGATGGTGGAGGGTATTTTTGGAATTAGCGGAATTATAATTACCGAACTACCCTCATTTTTTTTCGCTTTATGTTTCTTCTCCTTTTGGTTCGGATACTTGTATTAATTGAATATTCCAGTTCCATCACATTTAATTGACTTAATAAACTAGACTTTTAATTACTTTATATAAAACAAAATACTCTCCACGTCCTAAACTCTCCAAGATTTATAACATTGGTTAAAGTAGAAGTAAGATTTTGACAGCTTTCTTAATATTGTAGGATATTCTATAGAATATATATTAGGCCAAAGATAAAGTAATGTAAGTACAGATTATATACTTACTCAAATCGCAGCGAACATTCATAGCATAAAAATCTGCCGCATTTGTTTTTTCTTAATGTCAATGGTCAAAAAATAAAATAATAATTACAATAATTATTTGTAATAACATATTCTCTATTGTATCATGTCTCCTTTACTGGCATGAGTTCGCCAATGTAGCAAATATGTCAGTTTGTTAGTGTTAGAAATAATATAGCTTATACACGACGGTCTGTGACAGAGGAGGACAAATAAGCATTAAACACTCCTGCCATATTACATTTAAAAATGCGCTGTCAGCCTATTTTTCGGTTTGAATATTCAGAAATACAAATAGGTAGGAAGGTAATAGATTACATGTAATAAAATATTTTCGAATAAATTTTGTATATATTTAAATAAAACGCTTTAAACCCGAAATATATTCAAAAGTATAATTTATTCAAAAGACGATTCGACATTGCGGATTCTTTGCAGTTGCCATGGTCACAGTCATATTGAATAATATAATAACACCAGTCTGTAGTTAAAAAAAATTGTAAATAATTTAGAAATCGAAAATAAATTGAAAAAAATTTCGACTCGAGCAGGACTTGAACCGGCATCGTCCGCGTTCCGAGCTGATGCACTACCAATTGAGCTACCGAGTCCTACACCTCATCGTCGATTTTTTTCAACTTATTGGTACGTCATGTACCTCTCGCGCCATGTAAGTTCAACCTTAACACTTTCGTATTAAATTATATAGTGCCTTCATATGCAATAACATGTAAAAAATATCAAAGTATTCATAAAAAAATTGTAAATAAGTTTAAGTAATAAATTTTGTGTTTTAAACCGTTTAAAGTGTTATACTTAAATGTTTTTAACTACAAATAGTACTTCGTATAGAGACTGTATCCATAGGTAGGTACATCGATATTTTAAATTTAAAATTTAATCATAATTCTCTCAATTTTATTGCCTTTTTATAGAAATTATTTGAGATTTTTCACAGTTAGCAATTGCTTGTGGTAATTAAGTTATTTTCCTTGTTTATTTTTTCTATAATGATTCTGTTAAACGGAATATTATTGCTTATATATATTTTTTATTATTCATTATTGATAATTATTCATAATCTCATATTTAAATTCCTTTTTATTTTATGTTTTTAGCGAGTGATAAAAACATAATAAAACACTATTTGAATTAAAATACTTATAAGATTTGTAAAATATACAAAAATAAGTGCTGATATGCTTTATTTTACTTTATAAGTACTTGACAATAATCTATTTCTTCTTCTTCCCTAACTGGCTGTGTTTGACACCGTTCGTCTGGCCATTGCGCTCCGGTTTCTTCTTGATGTAGGTCTGGTAGTAGAATTGCCCAAACATGTTCATGAACACTCCACCGTAGCATATGGTGATTATCTTGAATATCCAATGGTAGGAACAAGGGTTGAACAAACTTATAACGCTATGTAGAGTCAGACCAGCAAACTGTACCTATTAAGGAAATATAAAAAATAAATAAAAAAATACTTTAACGGTTTAAAACGCGAAATGTGTGAGTTAATTTTTACTTAACCTGACGACAGAAATAACTGATATATTTCGCATTTCGAACCGTTAAAAGCGTCTATGCATGTACACTATGCATGTTAAATAAAAAATATTCACAAATACAATTAAATAAGTTTGTTGCGTTGTTATGTTACATTCAACGCGTATGCTTTTACAACTAAGCTTAAAGCAAACATTTTAAGAATTTGTGGTCTGTTCGTTATGGATATTAATGCCATTCTTTTTAATTTTCTAATTCTAGTTTCTTGTTCTTCGTAGGCAAGAATGCAACTGGCGTACACTTTTAGTAATACCTCCCGAATATGCTATACCAAAAATAGATTAACAGCATCACAATAATATATTATTGAGATGAATTGAAGTACCCCGGCCATCAAATGAAGTCAATGCTTTAAAATATAGGCTGTTGGCGTTATATTACTGAGTAATTGGATATCTAAGGCAAGACTTTTAACTTTTTAAAATTAATGTAAAACAAGCAAGTGCTTTTTTGCAGTCTTGCATGGTCCGCTTCGCTGTCGACAGCCGTATGTAGGCGTCATTCAAACGTACCAGTTGTAAAACAGTGACGTATTTCTTCCACCATAAGTACTTTTTGTATTGCGGCCCCAGACCAGATATTAGGTAGTAACCGTACATGACGACGTGCACGAAGCTGTTCACCCATCCGATCAAAACGCATTGGCCACCTGCAAAAACAATTTAGTGTTTAAATAAAACACTTTAACGGTTTAAAACGCGATATATTAGTTATATCTCTGTCAGTCTGATGGCAAGCCAAAAGAGGTCGACAGTAGATCATGAGATCACCTTGGTGAACCCCGTGGTTGTCTATCCTCCTATTTAAAAAAGAAGATTATTTATTTACCTGGAATATACTTAACAGCCATCCAAGACACCAGCGGCATCAAACTGTGGTGATGAAGATGGAGTGGCGATATCTGTCTGAAAGACTTTCTAAGCACAAAGAAGACGGTGTCCAATAATTCTATTAACTTCAGCGTATAGTAAATATATATGTTGCGTGCTATCTGAAATTCAAAGGAACATATACTAACATAGTAACTAAATCACAATAATATGAACTTATAAGAAAATATAGTAAAAGTGTTCACCATATACATTATATTAACATGCTTAGAAATTATGTATAATGCTATAATATAAACATAATTTTTCAATAATATCTCTATTTAAACACAAACAACGCTTTAAACGGTTTAAAACATGCTTGACCGACAAGTGACGACTACTGTTGCTGCAAATCCCAGAAACGCCGGGTAGAAGATTAGTAACAATAGATTTTTCGTTTTAAACCGTTAAAATTGTTTCATTTAAAATTTGTAATGCTCGAGTAAATTATACACAATACTTAATGTCTCCTAATTAAAAATTTAATGACTAAAACGTTAAGCAGTGTGATGTAACAATCATAAAACAATATGTAAAAATGTCGCTATAAAGCAATAAGTTTTTTTCTAAACCGTTTTTTCATCATACTCATAAATTAACTTGTGATTGAACTTTATATTACGTCACTAGCTAATTTAACAATTCACAACCATTTAAATAAAACACTTTAACGGTTTAAAACGCGATATATTAGTTAAACTGATTTAAAAATGATTTTTAACTTCGGCCCGACGTTTCGGATGCTTTATAAACTATAGACAGTATTTAATTCACAACCATTCAATAACTTATAAAAAATTCAATGAAGTTATAATTTAAATTTAAAATCTATTTGACATACAAAAAGTTGTGACGCTGGCGAGATTGGTACTGGCATCCGCAACGATCCGTGCTGCTGCTCTAACTCATTGAGAAATCATTTCTCGCCCAAACCCACCTTACTTCTTCAACTCATTGACACATGTACCTCTCGCGCAATTACTTTTTATTTGTAAATTAGTGATTACAAAAGACTTTTACACACCGTTAAAGCCCTGGCAGATTTGGGGTCGGGATCCAGCCCTTGACAGTAGGGGTTGTAATCTTTGTGAAGAACATAGTCGATACCCTGAAAGAAAAGAAACATGTTTACTTAAAAAGGTTGGTATGTGAGGAGTCTTTATATCATTTAAAATTAAATATCTTTCAAATAAAATATCTTAAACGATGTAACGCGAAATGTAATAGTAAACTTATATATACTAGCTTACTTGTGTTTTATTTAAATAAGTATTGCTTTCGCTAAATATAAACAATCTTTTAAACAAATACTGTCTATAGTTTACGCGAGTAGTACACATTTAAATAAAACACTTTAACGGAAGTTAAGAAATCATTTTCAAATAAGTTTAACTAATATATCGCGTTTTAAACCGTTAAAGTGTGTTATTTAAATATTTTAAACAGTTAAAGCTGTGAAATAAATTAGTTAGATTAATTTAACTACGACCGAAATGGAAGGTATCTCTAATGTCAAAGTCAAATCTGCTACGCCAGCGCCATCTGTTTAGTTAAGTTAGTATTTTGAGAAACTGGCTGGGTCCTTACTGAACTGACTCACTTGTGTCCTCTTGTTTATCGGTATGATTGGTAATATAGATAAACGATAAAATTAATTTAACTAATACGTTTCGTGTTTTAAATCGTTAAAAGTGTTTTATTTAATTGTGTATTACAAGCGCACAGACAATACTAGATCTACCATATTCTTAATAAATAAACCTTTCACTGCTGTATATAATAAAACAATTTTTGCGGATTGGTAAAATTCGGTTCTTCCGCTTCTTATGAGCTTGCATAAATTATTGACATCTTTTTGTACTTATATTAAGAGCGTTGAAGTAAAATTGTAAGTCGTTGACCTTTTGTATCAGAATTTCTTAGTAAGTACTTATTTCCGGTTAATTGAAAGCTTTCTCACCTCATATACCAAATATGTGCTTATGAGGACTTGGAACATATTGTACAGCTTTATCACAGTTTTCAATTCAAAGGCTGGCCTGTCCTTCATCAAGTATGGACCGAGCTTCCTTGAAAACACATTGTAGGCTACGACTATACTGACAACTGTCCATGGGCTGGAGACGAGGAACCAATCCTTGGTCATGGGATCTGAAGAGTGAAAGAGAAAACATGATATAAATACGGTAGGCAGTATAGTAGAACTTATTTGGATGATAGAATGTGAAATACCCTAGCCATACAACATCTTTAGATCTAAAGTGAAATCTCGTTTCTCCCTCGTGGGGCATGGATCGAACACATTTTTCGTTTCAATCAGACTTCTGTGCCCTGCCAGACCGAAACGATTTTTTGTTGCCCTGGGATAAGAAGATATAGTTAATTTAAATAAAACACTTTAACGGTTTAAAACGCTATATATTGGTTAACCTTATTTGGAAATTATTTTTAACTTGGGCTCGACGTTTCGGCTGCTGCAAAAGCCGTGGTCGCGGGGAGACAACATATAAAAATCATTTTCAAATAAGTTTAACTAATATATCGCGTTTTAAACCGTTAAAGTGGGAATGAGACCCATGACCCAATTATAAGCCATACATTGGACCAACGGTCAAAATCTTTACGGATCTTGACCTGTATTGTCGAATTTAATAGAAAGTACCCAAATTATTAACAGACATGTCTACAGATGAAAGGGCCGTGAAGTTTAAGCGCGATTCGGCTTTAGTCTGTGGTTTTCATTGCTTACACAAACATCGAATTCACGACGATCATAGTTGCTTTTATAAAAATAATCAGATTTATTTTTTGCATTTGTATCGTTGAAATAAAATCATTTTCAGTCAATAATGAATAGATTTGCATATATTTACGTAAAATATTACTAAGTCATGCGAACTTATAAAACACACTTTGATCGATAGATCGTAATGGACATTGTCTTATTATACGAAGTACTTGATTTGCGCAAGTCACTGTAATGTTGGTTCGAATGAAATGGGTTTTTGGTGTACGATTTTAATTTGATATATTTTTTTAAAATTAATTTTTATATGAATAAATTCTGATAAAATAAAAATATATAATTATATTAAAATAATCCGAATGATGGTTTAACTTATCAAAGCCATCTCCAAGCATAGATAACATTTAAAACACACATTTTGATATAGTCAGCTTGTAAGTGTGTAAAATAATCATATGAAAAATATATGGTCATTTGTTGAAATTTATAATTGTACTAAGATAGTAATAAAACATGTCTTAACTTAAATTTTTCTTGCTATGCATATCGTAACTCATGTGTTTTGCCTAATTTTAGTTTTAGAAACAAACGTTTAAATAAAACACTTTAACTTTAACTAAATTATATCGCGTTTTAAACCGTTAAAGTGTTTTATTTAAATATGTACTACTCGCGTAAGCAACACACAGAAACAGCGTGTCTACAGACGGAAACAAACTTTATACATTTTTTTTTATATCAAATTTAAAGTCTCTAATATCTATCCAACAATTTCAAAGTGTTTAAAGTACTTATAATATAATTTTTTACTTCTTACTAATTTGGGATTCCTAATTTTCATTTTGTAATAAGGTTTGTTTAGCCATATTTTTTATTTTCATCATATATAAAATTCATCTCTATTGAAGGTTTTTTTATTACAAATTCAGTATAAAACTTATATGTAAAAAATATGTTTACTATATGTAAAATCAATCTTTTGTTTTTAACTGTATGAACGTTAACAAGAGCACCTAGTAACCTACATTAATAAATGATATAGCCATATTCAAAGAGTTCAACATTGATGTATAACTCATTCGATTCCTGTCTGTAACAATGTTTTAAAATGACTAATTATACTAAGAACGACTTACGAATAAATGAAAGAGAATTTAAATAAAAAACGCTTTCAACGGTTTAAAACGTGAAATATATTATATGAATATGTATATAAGTTAAATATATTTCGCAATTTAAACCGTCTAAAGTGTTTTTAATGAAATGCATGTACGTGTTAACGTAGTTAACGCGTGGACTACAGACGGTACTTGATAATTTACTTTACTGCCACTGCTTTTCAACAGCTATGTTTAGTGAAATTAAATAACAGTTTAATCGGTTCCAGTTAACTTACTTGGCAATTCCTCGAAAATGTAGTTGTAAGTGTTCTTAATGGTATCCATGGTGCCACAAAATATACCACTTGATCAATTTAATTTATAACCATGCCGTCTTCTTCACCGCACCGTGTTCAATGTGTGATAGAACGCAATAGGTACGTTAAATTCAAACCATTTACATATGTAATATTCAAATTAGGTTATTCCAGAGTCAAAGTTACGATTCTAACAAGTACAAACATTTTGTAACGAAAAATTATTACAATTCTGGTACCACTTTTCAATACGCCGTTTCAACCTTTAAATTTCCACAGCTGCACGAATTCACGAGATGGAGCAGAACCCACCACGCTGCTTCAGTGCGGGTTTTCACCACCGCCACTAGTAGTGATATTCGAGATTGATATTTTTCTTCTAATTCTAATGGCAAACTGATACGAAACACTAGACCAACGCAGAATGCGTACATCCATAAATATACTTGCATTTATTTGATAAATTACGTTTTTTGTGTTTTTAATATGAATTAAAATTTTATTAAAATACTTAGACAAAACTTAGAGTTTGCAAACTAGCTGAAAACGACCTTATTTCAAATACGATAAAAGCTAAGATCTCATAATCTCTCAGTTATTAATACTAATAATTATCTAAATACAATATCAGTGTTTAATTCTAATGTAATACCAGGATGTTTTATGAAAAACTAAGCTGCCCCGCTGTGTTAAAATAAAAAAAAAATCTACGTTTGAAAACTTTATTATATTTCACAAGTTGTTGCACATGATGGCACTATATAGTTTAAAAACCGATTATTGTATGTTTTTTTAAATTATTATCGATTTTTTATTGAATCTACTTTGTCTATAGTTTACGCAAGAATATTAAATACATATAGCATAAAAACTCCGAAACCTTGAATCGACTTAAAAAAGTTAAAGATAATCGAATTTTAAAAGTAAAAAGTGTTATTTATAAACAACAAAGTCCAACTACATCACAGCATGCACACGTGTAAAAGCCGTGAAGTTTTATCGCGTTTTGGTTTCAGTACTTGGGTTTCCGAATATCCAAAGCCAAAATAGGTTGACGACGCATCTGGTTTAGATGTTTTATGGCTGGGGTTCATCTACCATCAAGTGAACCCTTTGCTTGCGTGTGCGCATAAAAAATATAATAAAAGGTATTACTCCCCAGCTGTATTATATTTAAACAAGGGGTTTGAACCAAAAAAAAAACACATTTTCAAGACAAATTCCAACTTATTTAACATTTTTTCTCCATAGGAATCGAATCCCAATAGTGACAATACTATTGGAGCCACAAGATTATATTTTTTAATAGTTAATACTCAAAACATGTTGGCCATGAGATACACGCGTGCGATGTAAGTATTATACAATGAATATGTAATTCAAAATTCATTTTTTTTCAATCCTTTATAATCTTTATTTTTTCGTAAAATTAATTTGTACTTCACGCTAGTTGTACACATCGTAAAACATTTTTTTAGGTCTGATTTCGGTCGATCATGGTTCCCGTGGTTCTTAAACTCCAGTATCAGTCGAGTTTAAGAAACAGTTTTATTCAATAAAATTGTAAGTCACCAATGTATATACATACATATATGGTAGATCAGGAGTATCTTCGTGCTGGTGATCAATTACCAGAAGCGCCTTGAAACAAAAAAAGTTTAAATACTGTCAATAGTTTACGAGAGTAGTACACATTTAAATAAAACACTTTAAAGGTTTAAAACGCGATATATTAGTTAAACTTATTTGGAAATGATTTTTAACTTCGGCCCGACGTTTCGGATGCTTTGCAGCAGCCCTCGTCTGCCCGTGACCACGGCTAAGCGGTTTTAAACCGTTAAAATGTTTTATTTAAAAAGTTTGTTCCCATCTTACGTCAAAACAAATTGATCGATTTAAATGACCTACTGGATAGGTTAAAAAAAAAACTTTTGTGTTTTGTTTTTGGGCTACACTACGCTGCGACTAGTAGACGACTAGTAGGAGCGAAGTTATAGCGGGAAATGTGGAGAATATGCGGAAAATTATTCAACTTTGCCGCGAACGCGGTTCGAGATACGCAAAAAATATGTATCTAAAAATCATTCCTCTTTGAATGAAATAAAAAAAATGTCTCGATATTGTATGACTATCTTTTAAGATTAACTTGCAAGAATGACGGGTCGCGACCGATGCGACTTCGATCACGGCGGTCGTCAACGTGGTTAACGGCTTAAATTTATACTAATACATAAAGCTAAAGGTTTTGTTTGTTTGTGTGATCGCGCGAATCTCAGGATCTACTGGTTCGAATTGAAAAACTGTATTCTGCGTTGATTACAGCATTTATCGAGGAAGGTCATAGGCCATAAACCATCACCATGCATCTTATTGGAGTCAAGAAACAACGAGAAATGTGAAAAAAACGGGGAAAAAATGTTCATTCTTGTGGGTTTCCGTTGCGTACGCTTAGAACGTAGCTTACGCGTTCAAGATACCCAAAAAATACGTGTGAAAGAATGATTTCTTTATAAATTATATAGAAAAATGTCCATGACACTATGTGTCTATCTTTTAAGTTTAACTTGCAAGATGTTAACTTGGTAACGAGTTAAATTTATAAAGGTTAAGAGGAGGTTCGCAAAACAAATTTGAGGCCCAAAAATACTATTTTACGGACAAAGTCGCTGACATAGCAGTTAAATACATAAGATTCTCGATCTTTCTCTCATAACTAAACGAATCAACTGACAAAAAAAAACCCTTTTGCGCCTCGAAGGTTAGCAGGAAAATGCCTTTCAGAATGTAAGCAGCGGCAAATAATCAAAATAACCTCCTTATACAAATTTGTTTTTATCTGTTTTATATATCACGCTACCAGATTATATAGCAGTTAAGTGTTGTTCTATGCTGTGTTCAAACGGGCGTCGCGATGCAAGCTATATTATATTTGTGTTTGTTAATTTATTTCGTTCAAAAATGTTGCGGATTGATTTACGACTTAGACGGTGAGTGATAAGATTGCGGGGTCATCTATGTACATTACAATGCAATATGTTATATTAAGAATAATTTCAGCGTATATTAAAACATTACTGGCTCTGTAGCCAAATACACGTGTTTAGCGTGAGAGGTCCTGATTTCGAATCCCGGGGCACAGAAGTCTGATCTTTGCTGTAGAAGATTAGTGAAACGGACACAGAAATATGTTGGCTCCGTGTCACGGTGTAAAATAAAAAAAAATGTTCAAACTAAAATCGATTTTTAATTGATGATATATGATGCCATCATGTGCAAACATCATGTGTTTTTACGTTTTTTAATTATTTTTATATGTTAAAATGTTTGTTAATGTAACTAATATAAAAAAAAATAGTTTAAAAGAGTACTTCTAGTGTTGTATTTTCGTCTGTGTTATAATACTCTAATTTGAAATAGCTTTTATCGCTTTTTGTTTTCTATATTAAATTCAAAATGGTATTGAATTAATGTAGAATTTAATGTTAGCCAAACCGGTCGACCATTATACAGCGAAACATATTAGACATGAGAAACGAAAAAAAAATAAAACTTGGTTCGAGCTGGACAGTGATACTAAAAAACTAGAAAATGAACTGCCACAAATTTATGCGAGTTTTAAATTCAAATGAAATGATGCATGAAACTGTTTAAAACGCAAAATATATAAGTTACTTTAATTTCGATTTAGATTTTTAACTTTTAACAAAGTTCCGACGTTTCGGATGCTTTGCAGCAAAGTAGACAAAGTATCCGAAACGTCGTGTTAATATAATTTGTAAATCAGTGTAAATAAGTTGAATGATTCGCGTTTCAAATTGTTAAAATGTTCTATTTAAAAGTGTCAAGTAGTTAACGTTTTCAACATTATGCAATTTCTTCTGTAATTGGTGTTAAAATGCACACAATTCGCAAAAAATATGTAAACTAGACATGGGAATATAATAAATAATAGCAATGCAAGACTACGCAATACTACAACGTGGAGGTAGTTTTTAAACATCCTTAAATGAATTCATGATAATGAAGGAAAAACGCACGTGGGTCTCCCTTAATGAAAGATTATGAGAGCATATCTGAAGATGCACTCGCGACCTAATTTTGCTTCATTCTAAAGTCCACTGATTAAATGAATGTCAACCATCGGCTGTACCAACGAATTCGTCATCATATGTGTTTCAAAGTACAAAAATAACAAGGAAGATATCACAGGAAACAATTAAATGTTTCTATATGACTAGGGATGTGGTCGAAAGATCATTTTAGTTTAGTTCAAAAATCCTTATTGTGTCTTATATATATACTAATATACAGGGCTGAAGAGTTTGTTTGTTTGATCGCGCTAATCTCAGGAAGTACGGGTTCGAATTGAAAAAATATTATGATGGTTAGAACATTTATCGAGGAAGGCTATAGACTATAAAAAACATTGCGCCTAGACTAATAGAAGCGAAGATACAGCGGAGAATGTGAACAAACTGGGGAAATTTTTCATCTCTGTGGGTTTCAGACGCGTACGTTGCGAAAACGATTTAAGACACCCAAAAAATATGTATAAAAGAATGATTTTCCTTTAAATGATCTAAAAAAAAAATGTTCGCGACACCATATGTCTATCTTTTAAGAGTCACTTGCAACATCGACGAGACCCGAACGACGGGACGCGACCGATGTCATTGGCAGCTTTTAAATTTATAAAGATGTAGCGGTTTGCAAAAATAAAATTTGATGTCCAAAACAATTATTCTTCGCGGACGAACTCGCTGACAAAGCTAGTATTTAATATTTATCATTCATGTATGCAGACTTTTTCATCCTTCGTTTATACAATACTAGTTGTAATTTAAATATAGTCGCTATTTCTTGTGCTCTGACGCAATTATATTTGTAATAAATTTCCATATTAATAGTGAAATGCCGTTTTATCCATCTGGGGTTGGGGCAAACACTTGTCCGTTTGCCCGATATACAGACGAGTTGATCTTGTGCCCAGCCTGACCGAAACAATTTATACTTTGCCGGGGATTCGAATCAAGCTCCTCACTCTCAACGCAATGCTAAGCAAAGCGTTTGATCATTAAAATACACAGGTGTGTATATTATAAATAAACTGACTTGAAAAATTCCGGAAAATAAATAAAAATACTTAGCACATTATTACACGTTTTAGGCCCTAATATATGCCCTTAAAGTTTTCAGAACTCCAAAACCACTCTGTATAATAAAGTAGATTATTATACAGAATGGTACAATTAAACATATTTATATTTCCGAAAGGTATATTGACTGGTTAGCGTTTAAACAATGCTTTGATTTGTTGAAATAACGATATCTTCTTTCTCTTTTTAGTATAATAACGCGGCTGACATTTTCTTAACAGTCCTTCGATTATTATATGCGTACATTGAATAATATAGTAATTTAGTGAGATATTTTAAAATGTATGACGTAGGCAATCATTGTATGCAAATATTGGCTTCCTGACTCAAATGAAGTAAAATAATAAGTTTTATAGGAGTTTAAAAAGAAAACACATATTCTTATTCAGACACTGTGTCTGTTTTACTAAACACTTCTATTTATAAGTTAACTAACTGTATCAACGACTACCTGTCCCTTTTATCTTTATAAATGTAAGGTGTTACCCGCGACGTCGGTTCCAAAGTTCGGGTTCCGTCTTTTTTGAAAGTTAATTATAAAAGACAGACATACATTTTACATACATATTTTTTGGGTGTCTCGAGCCGTCTTCAAAGCGTACGCGTTAGAAACTCACAAAGAAGGATAATTTTCCCTGTTTTCCACATTTACCGCTGTTTGTTTGTAGCGCGATATTTTATAGCGTATACCCATCCTAATATTATTAAATGCGAACCATCCGTTCCGCAGATTGGCGCGCTCAAACCAACTTACTCTTCAGATTTATATATAATTTTTTTTATCAGACTACTGTGCCCCGATCGACCGAAATGATTATGTTCGAATTAAGCACCTTAAAAACTATGTTAGCGCAAAGCTATGCGGCTAACTGTTGAGCCACACAGTCACAGAGTGCTATCAAGTAAATTAAATAACTTTGGAACTAATTCACTTAGATAGAATAATTAAAATCAATTATGATAGGTCAAGTTAGTCAAGTGTACAATGTATTTCAAGGGAGTTTAGTTTAAAGCAGGCTTGCGACGAATATATTCCACAGTATACCGAATACCGAATATTCGGTAAGCTAATATTCGGAAAAACTATTCCAATTAACAGCAGATTTTACTCTTTTAATGATATACTTTTGCTCTGCGCCCATGACTTATTAATGACTCTAAAATAAATAAAACCTTACTATTCTAAATAGTGATTACGATTTATAAAAAACACTAGTTAAACTTATTTGAAAATGATTATAACTTCGGCCCAACGTTTCGGATGCTTTAAGTTTTTAGTGATTACGATGATCATTCAAACATGTACATATTATAATTGTTTTGTATCTACGTTTTATATCAACGATTACTGAAATATTTGTTAGAGAACTTAAACAATGAATATATATTTAATAAAACAAAAATTATTTTATAATTCTATCAATTATTGAGTTCGAAAAAACAAAACTTATTAGTATTGGGCCGAACAGTATAAAATATTGCGTATGCCGAATATTCATTACATTGGTAGCATAAAGTTAGCAATGAGGTAATTAAAATATTATTAAATTAAATAATCATAAAACAATAATAATATGTACTTAAAAGCAATTACTTTATAATATTTTTTAAATACATTTGGTTGAGTCAGTTGCAGTTTCTAATTCCCAAGGTGCAAGGACAATTCGGTTTCTCTCTTCTTCTTTATTTGATAAAACGTTAGGCAGCAGACAAAATTTCAAGAATTGATTAATATTGTTGCTCATATAGATAGGACCTTAAATATCGTATTAACATTTAAAATTGATGTTACAGTGATCTTTACAGTGCGCAAGAGTTGCATAAAGTAAATTTGACAATTTCGTGTATACCGTATAAAATAAATTATAATGCGATAGTATTATCATAAACATATTATATAGGTGCTCCTAGTGACGTTAGTCGATCGTAGTCCAATTAAATTTTCTTTCTGGTTTCAGAGACACAGTATGCCAGAATGCCGCCAGTATTTCACATGGATCCATACGCTACTTGCCTTTTCCAGACAAATGGGACCTATTGCTTTACACAGTTCGTCTTAACATCGGATACGCAGAGTGATCTCTTAGATATGATAAATGTATGTATTATATTACAAGTCACTCGGGACGTAATAAAAATCAGTCAAAAGTATTATTTTTAATATAACTTATTTAAATAAGTATAAAGACTTAAATACAAAAACAGTTGTAAAAAACTACTCTATTAGAGATGGACTGTATAAATGTTTTTTCTATTCAAGAAAGATGATCAGATCTTTGTATTCTCTTTTTTTAGAATAACATCCTAAATTCCTCTTGCTAGACAAAGTTATTCATAGACACTTTTGGAATACTTCCACATATGGAAGGTTTTCGTTACTGAGATATAAACTCTTTCCCCTTCCCACCAACTATCATGTCCAGATTTACATCAAGTGCTATATTTGTCTCGCTAAACGAATTACTGACTAAAATGTTGGCAGGATTATTCCAGTTACGTTACAACTCATTTCAATCACACTAAGCTGCGACATGGTATCTGTGTTTCGGATCGATGTAAGCAACTCAACTTAGATTTTAGAATAGAAGACCAAGTACCAACCCTTGAAGGATGCCTTAATGAAACGTACTGGGACACATACAAATTGAAAACAAGAATTTTTGACTTATCATGTAATACAAAAAATGCTGAAAATCCCGAATTATCTGTTATCGATATAGTGGCAGCTACAATATTTGTTGTCATTATCATTTTTAATGTCATAGGAAGCATGTGTGACTACAATAACGTAGCGAGAAGCAACGGTAAGCACTTAATAAACATATTATTTTTAAATATTTGAAAAGAATAGAACTGGTAATGAAAAATACTTTAATTTAAAGTAAATGTACATTCTTATATGCTTTTCTACGCCATTTCTCTTACAAATATCCATTGCATGCTGTATTCCAGGATTACTGATGTCTTTTTCCGTTAAACGAAACTTCGAGAAATTATTCAATACTAACCAGAGAGACAACGATTCAAATCGGTTGAAGTCTTTACATGGTATTAGGTAAAATTTATTTACTAATAAAAAATAAATTAATGTGTGTACGAGATGAGAATTAAAAAGTAAGAATGTTATGGTATACGCGTGAGATTGTTGATATCTCCAATAACGTTTTTTTTAAGTAATGACGTTAATTTCATCTTTTAAAGAGATATGCTATGCTACTTGTTTTCAAGGTGTGATATATTATATTATATCCTGATTTTCCTTCAATTTGAATACAAATTGACATTGTTTCCTTATTGAATTAGTTTTATTTAAAGTTAATGTATACTAACCTGGCCTGTCCGCTACTAAATATTTTGAGAGTAAATATATTGCGGATAAAAAAAGGATCGAGTTGAGTTCCTTCGTATTCATTCTTTATTCAAGGTTGATAAACGGATATACGGTTGATAAACTTAATATATAAGGTATACAGATATTAAAATTATAAGCATGCTAATTAAAACGACCATAAATCACTAAATTAGTAAAAAAAAATACTGTGCGTCCTGGCTGTTAACGACCGTTGTCTGTCTCGCTGTGTCCCGTGCACACGTTCGCGAATTCCTAGCTCCTTTTCCTTATTTCCTTAAAGTCGCTGCGCGCGCTCGCTTGACTGTCGTTCGTATAGCTGCGACGATCTTTGTTCTACAAAACGAACTGAACGTTCGACGCTAGATTCTCTGGCTCGCGATTGGGACGCGTACACTCTAATACTTTCCAGACAATCGTTTTCAGAAGAAGACTCCAATATGACGAACTTTTCAATACGCTAATCTCGCTTGGAACTACTATTTTAAATCAGAGTAATTAGAAAAAAGCTAATAATAATACAAAAAGAAAATATTCAAGTTCAAAAGGATAAGTTCTGAAAAGAACTTTGACAAATATTATTCAAAGTGTGATTCCTCTGAAAAGAACGTTTTAAGTAAAGCATATGGTCGGCATTTCTATTAATTTGTCAAATGTAAAAAAGTAGTTATAGTGCCGTAACTACAATAGTTAGACATAGGTCTCGATGATGTTTTTTGTAGATATTTATATATTCTAAAATATTGTCGAACATTTTTTTGTCCTATCATAAATACGCAGCGTATGCGATGAAAGACTATGGCAAATTTTTTTACAGCTCCCGTGGTTTTTATATAAATTTCTATCGTAGTCTAGTACTAAGTATATTCTATGTTACTCAGTCTTAATTCAGCTTTCTAATGAAATAATAATTATTAAAATCGGTTACTTTTTGAGTTAATAAGTTACATACAAAAATACAAATCTTTCCTCTTTATAATATTAGTATCTGTTACCCACGATATTCGTATCCCGTCGTACGCGTCCCGTCGTTTGGGTCGTTCTTGCAAGTTAATCTTAAAGGTAAACTATAGAGTCGCGAATTTTTTGTAATTCATTTAAAGGGGAATCATTCTTTAATACACAAATTTTAGGTATCTTGAACCGTTTTCGCAGCGTACGCATCTGAAACCTACAGAGATGAAAAATTTTATTAATTTGCAATATGTTATAGCCTATAACCTTCCTCGATAAATGCTCTAACAAACAGAAAAAAACTTCCTGAAAACGTACTTCCTGAGATTAGCTCGTTCAAACAAACAAACAAACTCTTCAGCTTTATATATTAGTATAGATTTAGAAGTAATAATTATTGTTTCCGAAGTAAAAATTTGATAATTTCTTTTCCAGAGTACTAACATCGATGTGTGTCATTTTTCTACACTCAATACTAATTTTATTGAGCTACCCGCAAGATCCACGATTCATAGAAAAGGTATTTTTTTTCTATCTACCCACATATGTACAAATTTGCTGGAATCCATTGCTTAGTAGTAGTACTAATTGTGTGTCTACCCACATTTACTTGAATAAGTCCAGGGTTCCAAACTTGACGAAATCTTCGATCAAATTAACACTTGACACATTGTTTTACTGGACTATAGGAGCAAGTTTTGGAGTCGTATAAACGTGTTCCCAGGGCTCCCTCAAAACTCCGTAGCTGATGGTGTGTTCAGTGGTTCTGGTCGGCTACTGTCTCCGAGGAGGTTGTAGTACAATTTACCAGACTCCTCACGTCACGTGGGCCTGTGTTAGGCATGCAAACATCGGTTAAAAGAAAATGACTGTTGGAGCAATCTGTTCTATTTAGTCCCAAGTCTTTTTTATTTCAGGTGTATGAAAGCATCGTGAACTATGTGTTTCTAAATGGTACTCTAGTCGTTCAGTCGTTCTTTGTCATCGCTGGACTTCTGCTTGCATACAAGATGGAAGATTTGAATGCCCAAGGGAAAGTCTCTTGGAAATTAATACCAATGGGTGTACTACAAATATTTCTGAGGTAGCATTATTGCTTGATTTGTGATTTTCAAATGTTTTCATTTCTATAAGCGACAGTTTCAAATAGTTCTCTAGAGACTCGTTATGACTTAACTTAAACTTATCTAATCTCATTTCAGATTAATACCATCGTATGGACTCGTAATACTCTTCTCGGTAACCTGGTTCCGGCGTATGGGATCTGGACCTCTTTGGCATGTAAGCCACCGAAATTTTTACTCCAAATAATAGTTCTATTTTTTTCTTTTCATATTTTTGATTAGTTTGTTTAAATAGGCTCGTTGGTGTAATGTGTCCCTAATAATCATGGGTTCAGGGTTCAATTCCTGCATCTACTGCTTCAACATGTTTATAATCATTATATATAATTTGATATGAAAAAGTATAGTAGGAATATTTCACAGGATTATCTTGTTATCTTTCAGTCGAATGCCATATTAGAAGCAGATTCGTGCAGCAAATATTGGTGGACGCACTTACTTTTCATTAACAACTATTTTGACTCGAGTTACTGCATGGTGCAGATGTGGTGAGTTACTGAAACCGAATTTTGGCCGCAATGTTGTTTTTTTCATGATGTTGGACCGGTTGTCGAACCGACCGTATAAGTTAATAATGCCAATCGACAAACGAGTCCGTCGAATTTTAAAAGTAATGAATATCCAAATTCCTTTAAGGATTAAAATGCATTCGAAGATTTAATTACTACTTATCAGTATAAATTTTAATAAAAACTTTAACGGTTTAAAACGCGATATATATTTGTAAACTTATTTTAACTACGGCCTGATGTCACGGGGAAACTGAAGATTAAAGGCGTCTCTGACGTCTAAGTAAAAACTGGTACGTTAGCGCCGTCTGTTCCGACGGAGTTGATATTTAACGAAAGTGGCCGGCGAATTTGTAATAAAGTTTGACTAATATATAACGCGTTTTAAACCGTTAAAGTGTTTTATTAAAATGTATACTGATAGCGTTCACTACATAGAGTATTTGATGTAATTACTCCATAAACTTTACAGGTTCTTAGCAGCATATGTACAGTTAATGGTGCTTGGGCTTTTTGTGTGCGTTCTAGCAAGGAATAGAACGGCGAAGATTTGGACCTTATGTATCGTCTTCATAATAGGAATGATATTACCAGCTGCGCATACGTTTTATCAAAATTTGGAAGCAGTTTTATTGATGACCCCTGAGTAAGTATATGAAGAGGTTATAATCTCAGTTTGTAGCTTGACTTAACTTGTCGATCTTCAGAATGCAATGTTTAGTCTAATTTTAGCAATTTATTGTTTGTCAAACACAGCTTTTTTTTTATTAGCTAAAGTTGTTTTTTTTTTAAAGTTGTAATTTGGCCAATATTACAATATGCTCCAAATGAATTCCTTACCGTTTTTATTGATCTAAAGATGCAGTCTAGCATTGTGATAAGCATGAAAGGTCTCTGGTTCGAATTCCGGGGTGCTGTAAATTGATTACCTCGGGGAGAACACACACGTCTAATTAACCACTTGTCTGTAAAATCCGTCATTAAAACGGATAAAAAAATCTTCACTCAATGTTGTTCATACGATACATTATACTAAAGGTTTTTAATTTAAAACTTGTAAAACCAGTAATAATATATAAGAAAATTTAGTGTAGAAAGATGCAAGCACCTATGTTTCCATTAACTTTGTATTGTCCTTAAGTAAATCATTTACTTATAAAGGTAACTAAGTACACTCATGAACTAAAAAGTCACAAAACTAAAGAATCTAACGTTACATTTACTACCAGTTCTCAAATCAAGAGCGCAGAACGAACGAAAAGAACTGGCAATAAACTCGCCGTCACTCCTTTTATCGCTTTTATTATATTTTGCTCTTAATAATCTCGAATTCGTTTCTAAAACTTCTATTCTATCTAATCTCTATTTAATCTCTTCTTACAGATTTATTTTCTCTTTCAATGACTATGAGACCTTCAATCACGTCTATAAAAGAGGCCACACAAATGTACCTGCTTTTATTTTGGGTATTGCATTAGGGTACTATATTTACCATGGACAAAAAAAAAAGGTGAACACGCAAAAATATGAGGTAAGTTTATGCATAAAGACTTAATACTGAATTTGGGTTGCATGAATAATAAAACAGCACCTCTAGCGGCTACAATGAGAACCTTCATACAATCTCTTCAACAACGAATTTATCTCTTGATATTTTCACGTATGTTTTAACTATTACTTATCTATAGCGTGGTATAATAATAAATATAAGATATTTTATGTAGGATCCGGTGGGGTTCGAACCCACGGCGCATTGATTGTTTGCCATACATATCTACTATTACAATATAATGTCTTGTTTATTATTTACAGAAATATCAATTACTATTCAAGTTGACAGTTCCCGTTGGACTGATGATGATGTTTGTAGGACTTTTGTTCAAGGAAAGCGAAGATATATCACCTTACACCAAAGCTGTATATGCTGGATTAATGAAACCCATATTTGGTTTCCTCCTTTGTTTGTTAATTTTTTCATCGGTTTTTAAAATTGAACGTAAGTATATAAATCCTATTAGCTTATTACTGTAGTTAAGGCGACTAAACATTAAAAAAATACATATTTAACACAGCGAAATATATACGGCCCGACGCTTCCCCAGGGACCGGGGCTGCAAATGCGACGGCTTTAATTGCATTGATACTACTCGCGTAAACTACAGATTACACTTATGTTTACCTAGTCAATTATATACATTTCGTTCACTAGTATGAATGGAACTGTTTTCATTATATTATATAGTTTTATCCTGCCAACATTTTAAATTGATTTATGTTTGAAAGACTGGTGTAAAATACTTGCAATTAAGGTGTTACTAACAAATCATTTGACGAAGCCTATTTATATATTATTTCAGATCTCTATCGGCGTATTCTGGAATGGAACTTGTGGCGAATACCATCCAGATTGTCTTATATCGCTTATGTGATACACATTACTTTTATTCGACTTGTGGCTGGTTTGGGAACATCCCTTAATACCGTTAATTACTGGCTAATGGTAAGAATTATCGGAGTCTTTAATCTACTATTACCTAAGTCTAAAACCTACTAGCTTCAATTCATTGGGCTATAACGTTTGAACTCACGAAAGCCATTACATTCGAATAAAAGCTAAAAAAAGCTCCTTTTAAAAAACAATGCAAAATTTTACACCTTCAACATTGTGAAAAACATTTCTTAAGGAAGAAATAGAGAAGACGAATTTTTAAGAATTGGAAATTTTATTGATTTCAAATGTTGTTGCAAATTATGGCATTACTAAAATTAAAAAAATATGAAGTTGACGTGTGATACACAGTAGCTCGGATGACTGTAGATACCGGCCCAAATCAAATTCAGCCCGTGTCATATTTTTTTTCTCTATACAAACATTGTTATTATAATAAAAATGTATCTCTCCATTGAAGATCTAGAAGGCACAGGCACAGCCTAGAATCCGCGACTCATAATTATTCCTATTAATTTAACTTAAATTCAAAACATGATTTGATAAGAGAAAAGGTGACTTGACGGGCTCGTGGATGTATTCATGTAATTAATTATTTAAGTAGTAATAATAAACAAATAGTGGATTCGATCCCCGCCAGGCCCAACATGTTTCAAGTCAATTTCTAATTTATCTGAAACACGGTGAACGTCTGGAAATCTGGATATTAAATTCTAGAAATATCGAGAATTCCGTCCGGATCCCAAACCACCGTCCACCAATAAAAGAGCCGTGAAGTTTAATCGCGTTTCGGGTTAAGTCTGTGGATTTCCGAATATCCGAAGCCAAAAAGGACAGCGCGTCTCATTGAGGTCTTATATAGTTGGGTCATTTCACCTATTCTATTAAATGAACCCTCTCCTTGTATGTCCTCCTCTATCATAACACATTTATAAGAACAAGTAAATTAGATAGTTTTTAAATTATATGTTACTAACTGTGCCCGCGACTTCGTCCGCGTGAAATAGTGACTGGGGGTAGAATTTTTAATTATTAATTTATGTAAGGCCGCATTTAAGACAGCCAATCTATGTTGTAAGTGCAACTTTGCCGAAACACTCTCACCTCACATCACTCCTATTCTAACTCCTACTCTCATTCCGATACTCACTCCCACTCCCATTCCTATTTCAAAAAAGCCAAAGAAGAAAGTTTCGTTATTCAAAAACCACGAATTTCCATACAAACTTTCATCCCCCTTTTTCAACCCTTATTTGGCATTAAAAAGAAAAACCCTTCCCAGGCCCAAAAAAAACTTTTTACCAACATTCATTTAAAAAAGTTCAAAAGTTTCGGAGTTAAAGCCGGACGGACAGACAGACAGAGTTACTTTTGCATTTATAATATTAGTATAGATTTAATATAATTCCTTCGTTTTAGATTGTAAACGCCTTCGGAGTCATAGCTAGTGTGTATATTTTGACGATTCCGTTTTGGCTGTTGATAGAAGGACCAATCAATGAAGTAATTAATTTTGCATTGATCAAGGAAGGAAGGGTAAAGACTTCAAAACCTGAAGTCGAAACTAATCAAGAAACTGCGTGAAGTCAAATCCATGATATTAAATTAAACTCCGTGCCGTCTGTAGTTTATGCACGTAGTGTATAAACAAAACGCATTTAACGCTTTAGAACGCGAAATGTATTAGTTAGCTAATTTATTATTATTGTATAGGGATGCTTTGCAGCAGCACTAGTGACGGGTCGGTTAAGAGTTTTTTATTTAAATTCTATTAAATTAATAGTCCACGTCTTGTTAATGTAAATACCAGTGTTTTCTTAACGTTTGAATATTCTTTGAGCAGTCCCATAACGTGAAAGTTTTAATATACCAAACTGAATACTGTCTGTACTGTAGTTTACACGAGTAGTGCACATTTAAATAAAACACTTTAACGGTTTAAAACGCGACATAGTAAACTTATTTGAAAATGATTTTTAAATATCGCGTTTTAAACCGTTAAAGTGTTTATTTAAATATACCAAACTGATCAAATGTTAGCAGGTATTAGATGTTAAAATTTGAGTTTAGTTATTTAATTATTTCTGTTTTTTCTCTGTAAAAAAAAAAAACAAAAAAAAAAAGTTTGGGGGGCAAAAAGGGGGGGGTTTTTTTTTCAAAAAAGGGTTTGGGGGGGGGGGGTTTAAAAAAAAAAAAGGGAAAAGGGATTTTGTTTTTTTAGGTGTCTTTTAAGTATAATGTTAAGTTCATTTTCCTTGTGATCTTCGTGTTGTGTATAATTTTCCACTGTACTATTTTTAATAAAAAATGTTTAATGAAATTTAACATTGGTAATTTTAGTTTTTTCAACGTTTTTTTGTTGTTATTGAACACGGAAATATTATAACTCTAGTCATAAAATTAACATTTTGAACAATATTTTTCTCAAAAGTAAACATAAATATTATACTATTCTTTATAAGGTACGCTTTGTTGGGTATTTTTTAACCTTTAAAAAAACTTCTATTTTTTGTATCTTTAATAAAACCATATTAATACTGAAATGAAATTTTGTTTAATCTTCGTAGATTAAAACAATGTTTTATTTTATATTGAACTCACATAGCGAGAAAAAATTAAAGAAGAAATAAAAAAGAAAGACAAAATTAAACAAATATAAAAAGAAAAAATGCCAAATTAAACAAATTTTGAACCATAACATTGTTATCTATAATATTTTAATAAAAATTTTAAACAATAGTTTTAGCATCATTATTAATTAATAAAAATATAGTAAAAGTAGTAGTAAAAATATAATAATATTAATAAAAATCAAGCATCGCATAAAATAGTATATTTTATAATTATAAAAAAATAGTATTTTATGCGATGCTTGATTTTTAGTTGGTCTCTTACTTCATCATCATTAAAGGATTAAAGGGAATTGTTTGTTCCTTAGTTTATTTAATTGGCACGGCACCGTAACCAATTGCACAAAATAATGCATTTTTATACATATAAAAGAGCATTAACAATCATTATAAAACCATAATATATTCGTACAGGAATTACAAGCATTAACTACATTTGACAGGTTTTACAGTTATGGATAGATGCACAAGATGGCGTTATTTACAATAGGATGTCAAGTTGTAAGAATTTGTATTTGTATTTTTTTTATCATTCATCGTCATCCATAAACGTTTTAGTATTTAAACTGTCTTTCAATTTAAGTTATTAAAAAATGTCTATTCAAAACTTGTGTAGATCTTTTGACACATTTTTAAGAATTGTTTGTCTGGTCGCAATTACAATTGTATTAATTGGCAATAAATAAGCAATAATTAAAAAGAAAATGTTATGAATTGTTAAAATAAAACCATGCATTCAATAAAAATTATGTTTATTTATTAATGTATTTGTTAAACGATCATGGGTACTTAAATTAACTTAACAAATTTAACAAAATGCAACACATATAGTTTAGGTAACATTCGACTATTGCAGTGGACTGCGTGTACAATTTATAGTAGGTTTGGGAAAACATTTTTACATTACAAAACTTTAACGGTGTTATAACATTGTTTTTCTGGCTGTTCAGCCGACGTGAGGAGATTCTCGACATTTCGCCATCACGAGCGAACGGCATTATCAGGAGATGTTGGGGAAAGGCAAAGGATGTGGGGAAAACGGCATCATCCACCGTTGCTGGTTGTGCCTTTCGCGCATTCCAACTTGATGGCCAGTGATTAATATTGTACCCCAAAGGGTTGACATTTTCAGGGGGTATTGGAGTGAAATAGCAAATATTGTTCTTAACGTAATTACTAAGTACTAGAAGTATTAATAATAATTATTAAAACTTAGTTTTCATATTTTTTCTTATATCTTGTATTACTGTCGAATTGGATTATATCTGTAATGGCAGCATATATTTGTGTGTGTGTAAATAAATAAACGTTAGCTCCTTGATTGCTCGAAGAACACTGGCGAAAGGTCGAAAACCTCTTCTCGCTCACATCGGTCAAACAGCCCGAAAAACAATGTTATACTGAACGTTATTTTTTCATTCTAGAATAAAATTAAGTTTTGTAACTTATTTTCATATTAATGTTCATGTTATTGGAGGAAATATGTTTAAATAAATTAAAGAGTTCCTTTAGATTTTAAAGAAAAACTTAATGTGCCACACCATTAAACAGTCATTACAATTTAAATTCTTAGCAGTTTGTTTGTACAAATGCAGGTACTATAGTTGAATGGATGGTGTAGTATACAAAATTGATTATCTAATACAAGATTTAAATCCAGTGTTTAAGTGTGTAGTAGAAGTAATTTAAGTTTAATAAACTGAGGATTTTGGTGCCTTTTAAATGTTTTTCTAGAATTCACCTTATTGTGTACATACACAAGGACGGAATGTATAAGTTTGACAGTAAGGAAACGTGCAAATAATCGGTTTGTGTTTTATTCAAAAGTACTAGTTTCCCTTTAGCTTCCGATAGAGGCGCTAGTAAATTTTGGATAAAACCTACAATTTGATTACTTTATTGTTTGTTGAAACTTACAAACTTATACAAAATAAATTATGTGTTAGGTTACATTTTACGTTGTGTTGTTTCAGAGAATACATGTGAGATATCAATAAATTACACAATATTTAAATTGGTCAGACACATCACACACAGTAACTTTGTTATTATACAAATTATAACATGGTAACGAATATAATATTAGACCTGAAGAATAACTTTCGTATTATCGTGAATCATAAAACTTCAGTTCCTCAGAACCAATAAAAAACTAAATAAAATTATATAACAGTTATAATAATACTAGTTTTGTCCTAAACGGGAACTGACGTTTTATAATTTCGCTTCTCTTACTTTCTAGATACATAGGGATTTATTAAAGCAAGTTGAATTCCTGTCTCCGTTATTAAGCCCGTAATTAAAATCCTAATTAAATTAATTAAGGCTCGTCACACAACGAATACTACATCTAGCTTAATGAATAATTCAATAACTTAAGCTACATCACAATATAAAATGAGTCCTAAGCCTATTTGAGCAATATTAAACTAAGATTCTTTAGCCTTTTCTGACGGGACTGTGCCATTAGCCATGGTGGTAGTAGTCTGCCTCTTGTCAACCTTAATGTAGTTTCTGTAGTAGAAGTTACCAAACATGTACAAGAACATGCCAGAATTAAGTGAGAGCAAGAAGTTGATAAACTTAGGGTAGTTACAGTCGCAGAACATTACGGTGAAGTTGTGGTAGAAAATGATGACAAATTGGATCTGAAAATGGAATAAATGCATTATTAGATGTCCTTCTTCTTCTTTAGGAAAATTGTAGAGTAGGAATTCATCTTAAAAGAAAAGAAAGGAAATTTAAACTTACCAACTGCAAAGTAGTTACGTGGCTCTTCCACCAGAGAAGCTTCTGGTACTGAGGGCCAAGACCAGAGATCAGATAATAGGTGTACATGATTACGTGGATGAAGGAGTTTATCACACCGAGAAGAGTTCCATGACCACCTGAAAATATAACTCAAACTTTAGTATCACATTCGTAAGTAACATTTTGAAAAATTCTCAGCGTATTCTAATGACACTTACCTGGTAGGAATTTGCAACCGATCCAAGCGCAGATCGGCATCATTGTATGATGGTAGAGGTGCAAGAACGATATTTGTCTGTTCTTCTTTCGCAGAACAAAGAATACCGTATCGAGAAGCTCAACTATTTTCGCGAAGAAGTACCACCAGACCGCAGCTGCCATCTACAAGTAAAACGTAATACTCACGTCGAGGTTTTCTTAAGAAACAAAAAAGTTAACAATAGTGATTAAATGAATACATATTAAATTTCATGTATTGACTTGTATATTGGTTGTAGTTTTGTTCAAAGATAAACCATTCAAATTAGTAACGGGTCGTGGCTAATTTTTCTGAAACATGTTTGACCATCTGGAATTTTGGATATTAAATGGATTTTGAAATTTCGTTCGGGTTAGAAACCACCGTCTAAAGATGGAAAAACCACTACATTTAATCGAGTTACGATTTCTGTCTGTAGATTTCCGAATATCCAAAGCCAATATAGGTCGACTTATTTGATGATAATGGCTGGGTAATTTCACCTACGATCAAGTGACGGAATGTTAGTCTGTCGATCTCTAATCATAAAAAATGATTGTTTAAAAAAATGTCTTGCACAGAACGCTGTTCTCTCTCATCATGAGTCGAGTCGTTCTGTTTTTGTCCCAGATCTATTGTTTGGCATATTCTTTTGCTAAGAATCCAATTTCCACTCACCCGATTCGCCTTTGGGTTGTCCGAGTAATCCACTGGTTGGCAGGAAAAGTTGTAATCATTCCACCAGCCAGCTACCGAACCCTGGAACACGGATGTCATTATTTAAGTGTCTTATACCGAAAGTCGCACTTATTATTTATACGCGTGCTCAAACAGCAAATTTTAACACTTCTACTTCGTTGTTTGTTTAAATACGGATATTTGAATTTAGTTCAATATTTGTATTTAGGAAGACACCTTCGACATGTTTGTTTAGATTGAAAAATTCCAAAATGATGTCATAGAAAAACGAACTCCCAGACACAAAATGACCAGAACATAGAGCTTTGGATAAACCAGATGTCTTATTTCCTGGGACTATGATGTACGAGGTTTAATGTAGATGAGTTAATTCTAAAGTATTTCTCCAACCTGTTTCAGATCAAAAATAATATTTGTATTTTAATTAAGGCACAATTATGATTAAATGACTAAAGCCATACGGAACAAATAAATAAATGTAAAAATATTAGAACATTTACCAAAGGCAAACCAGTCGCACTTTGCAGCTCATGTGTGACAAATAAAGTAATTTAAATACTAAGTATACGCAGTAATTTAGTGTACTCCGCTAATTTTACGCGCTCAAGGATTTTTACGCGTTAATTTTTATGGGCGTCATTTTGTTGGCGTCCATTTTTGTCAGTCTTTTTAACTTCTGAGACTACTTGAATATTATAGTATTACTTTCCTTCCAATCATCCCTTTTTAAATATTTGTATTAAAAAAGGGAGTTAGCTCTTGATTAACCTTCAAAGTTTGTGTAGCAAAACTCTTATGATGAGAAAAATTAAATGACCACTTACTTCATACACCAAGAAAACACTCATCAAAATTTGCGATATATTGTACAGAACGATCGTATTCTTTAAGCTGTATGGCTTCCTGTCTCTCATGTAGCGAGGACCCATGGATGTGCAGAAGTACAGGTATGAGGCCAGGAGTGTTATTAGTGGACCAGGTCCTGACATCATCCACCAGTTTTCTGTCCGCGGGTCTGGAAAAATAAGGTGTTCCGTAAATATTCCTTCATTTTAAACTTTCGATTGATGTAATAGTTGTTACTAGCGATTTATTGTAAGTGTATTATACAACATAACTCTGTAATAGTGAATAGTTCATTTATTTGGAACGAATATATTTTTCGTAACCAATTTTTCGTTGAGCTTTTAGCCATTTTACCGTGAGCCTTCAGTTAAGTCTAGTTCAGTTCAGTTCAGTTAAACATGTTGGACTTCGTCTTGAAATCTGGATATCAAATGGGTTGTGGGGAATTTTGAAATTCCACCCGAGTCACGAACTACCGACGACCGACATATGAAAAATCCATAGGTTGATATCGCATATAGTTATATGGCTATGGAGTATTTTACCTTCCATAAAATGGGGTTCACCATCACAACGTCCTCTATCATAAAAACATTTCAAGTTGATCGCCAAAAATCCTGGTACTAAACACAAGTGTCAATATTAACAAATGATTTGGAATTATTTTCCTAACAAGGTGCTAAATAAAAACGAGCATACAAATGATGTGAGAGATTAGCACTTATTTCATCGTTAACTTTGTTTATGGCAACTTACTTACTGCGTCAAAGCCTTACATATTGATTTAAGTCCTTATACTGTTTCTACTTGCTGCTAATCATTGTTGCCACGATTGTGTTCCCAGAAGTAGGAATTTCATTTCGAATATATAGGCTTTGATTGATAGAGGAAGACAGAGCACAAGACTCACTTGGTAAAGGTAAAATACCTCAGACATACTCGCACTGTCGACCTATTGTGGCCTTTTCACGGTTTATGTGGCCGGTGGTGCGTTACCAGACGAAATTTCGATATTTCCACCACCCATTCAATACCCAGATTTCCAGACGGAATCCAGCATGCTTCAGACCCGGTGGGGATTCAACCCACGACCTTAAAACTAAAACTAATTTTCCAAAATGGCATATCCCACTTCTGACATTATAAGGACCTGAGTGTTGACAAATAACCTCTAGAACTTGTCAGTTGCATTGTGACATTTTCCTATACCAGAAAGCTCGTGTACAATTATAGTTTGAACCTGATTGGCAATGCGACCTTTGAAGCAAGAGTACAAAGACCCGTCTAGATAAAAAGTCAAACTATAAATGATATAACTGGCATTTTATAGTGTGAACTGAGAATAAAATATAATTAAATCATTCATAGACGTAAGCAAGTACCTAATTAAATACCGAGCAATTAAGGAAATGATATTGTAATCGTTCTGGATCTTTCTAAACGTTATTCCGAGAGTGAGCTATTAAAACACAAACGCCAAATAACTGTTAAAACTTAAGGACAAATCAATTAGATTTAAACAAGATTTGATTAAAAACTAAGAACGTTCGCGAAAGAATTAAGTTCACAATTTTTATTTTCTATTGGTAACATTTTTAGTATCTTAAGTTTCAAAAAGGATTATGATTGTTTTGATCCAGTCTAGATTACATAATAACATTATAAAGCAATAAGTTTATTTGTTCGTTTGACCTCGCAAATCTTAGGAACCACTGATTCGAAATGAAACATGAAGTTTTTTTGTTGTATAGACTATTTATCGAAGAAATCTCTTTAAGACCACGCTGCGACCAACAGCTGAGCGTAGAAACAGTGGGAAATTTGGGAAAAACTGGGAAAGTTATTCATATTTAAGGGCCTACAGCTATGGAAGTTGTTTGCAAAAATTAATAATATCCACGCAGACGCGAGCTCAAAGCGGAATATGGTGGCTCAATGGGCTAGAACACATATTGTTTTTTTCAATCTTAATCCATTTATGATTTATTTATGGAATTAGTTTAAAAGTTAATATAAACTCCTTTAAAAGCACAGATAAGAAATGAGGCATATGATGAGTAAACAATATGCTTTAGTAAATTTTCAGAGAGAATGTATTTTTAAATAAAACACTTTAACGGTTTAGAACGCGATACATTAATTAAACTTATTTTGAAAATTATTTTTAACTTCGGCCCGACGTTTCGGATGCTTTGCAGGAGCCGTGATACGGGGAGACTAAAGATGGAGGATGTCTCTGACGTCAAAGTGAAAAATTGCTACGCTAGCGCCATCTGTTCCGTCGAAGTTGGTATATGACGAAACTGGCCGGATCCTTACAAAATTGACTAACGCGTTATAAACCGTTAAAGTGTTTTATTTAATGTATTTTTTTCACCAACATCTGATTGCGTCTTATCAATACAGTAGCGCCTATTTACCATAAAAATAACAATATATTATAAACCTATCGTTAATATTCTAAACGCGTGGAAATCAAATAGTGCAGCTTCAAGCTCGCATACAGAATAGCTCATTTGAGAATTATTCGATTCGCAGTTTCCAGTCAATGTTAGCTATTGTAATATTCGGTAAATATTTCCCACTAGCTGTGTCAGCGACTTCGTCCGCGTATAATAGTTATTTCGGGCATCTAAATTTGTCTTTGTAAACCTCCACTTCATCTTAAGCAGTTTAAGCTGTTAACTACGACGTCGCTCGCGTGCACTCATGCAAATTAAAAGATAGACATAACATATTGACGTAGACATTTTTTTTCAATCAATTAAAGAGGAATCATTCTTTCATAGGATGAATAATCCACGTTTTTTGCACATTTCCGGCTGATTCTATGCTCCTTTAGGGCATTACTTTCTATTAAGCGAACCGCATGCGAGTTTGTCCTATTCTATAAAAAACAATATAGTACACTTTTTACACAAAACTATTATTTAAATATAGACATTTAGACCATTCGCTACATTATAAATATTTTTACCAAAATCTATTTAAGAAATATTCACGTGCTTCTTGTAATGTTGATGGAAATTTATATATTTAAATAAAACACTTTAACGGCTTAAAATGCGATATATTAGTTAAACTTATTTGAAAATGATTTTTAACTTCGCCCGACGTTTCGGATGATTTTTAGCAGCCGTGGTCACGGGGAGACTAAAGATGGAGGATGTCTGACGGATGACATCAAAGTAAAAAATTGCTACGCCATCTGTTCCGTCGAAGTTGGTATTTGGCAAAACTGGCCGAGTCCTTACCGGTATGCTGTTTATTGGGAACCAGAGTTTATAATATAATATATTAAAAACTCTAGATCATCCGAAAAGTCGGGCCGAAGTTAAAAATCATTTTCAAATAAGTTTAACTACTACATCGCGTTTTAAACAGTTAAAGTGTTTTATTTAAATGTGTAATACTCGCGTAAACTATAGACAGTATTTATGTGTATATTTAAATTATTTCTATTACATAACTATACAATCTCTGTATAGTTCAATTCTGACGTTGGAAAATGTTTGCAAAAACACACTACCTTCTTCGCAACGAGCGTATTAAAACAATTATATGATAACTACTGTCTGTAGTTTACGCAAGTAGTATATATACTTTCAAATAACACACTTTAAACGGTTTAGAACGTGATATATCACGTTCTAAACCGTTTAAAGTGTGTTATTTGCTGCAAACTTTAACTAATATATATAATATTAGTTAAAGTTTGCAGCAGCTTTAACTTAGCAGCAGCCGTGGTCACGGGGAGACACGTTACCACGGCTGCTGCAAAGTTAAAAATAATTTTCAAATAAATTTAACTAATAAATATCGCGTTTAAACCGTTAACTGTCTCAGTATTGTCTTTAGTTTAGGCGAATAGTACCTACACATTGAAATAAAACACTTCAACGGCTTAAAACGCGATATATTAGTTCAAAATTATTTTTTATGTCTCCCCGTGACCACGGCTGCTGCAAAGCATCCGAAACGTCGGGTTGAATATTTTTGATATATCGCGTTTTAAACCGTTAAAGTGTTTTATCTAAATATATATATATATATATATATATATATATAAATTGTTTGTTTGTCTATCCTTTCTGTCTCAGTTGTCCTAGCGCTTTAACTACTTATTTGGAAAAATATGTCATAGAATAAAGAATTTTGTGTCCTTTGCCTATATTTCAACGGATTGTTAAGAATAAGAATTATATTAATTAAAAATCTCCGTGAGCTCGAAACCGGAATTTCGCTTTAGATAAGACGGTAAACCGTCATAGAAATGTCAAAGTATTTGATTTTGCACTCATTAAACAGGAAATAAATTAAAATATAACTAAAACCGGTAATCAATGAGTAATTCAAATAAAAACAAATTAGGAATATATAAATCTCTTAATTGTAACTTAACGTTGTGTAGATTGTTAGCGAAGATTAAGTTAAAAATTAACCGAGGGTAGATGTAGTTTTAATATTTTATGAATTTAATTCAATACTGTCTGTAGTTTATGCAACATTTAAATGAAACACATTGACGGTTTATACGTCGGACCGTTGTTCAAATAAGTGTAAGTAAAATATATTGCGTTTTGAACCGTTGAAGTGTTTTATTTTAATTTATATCAGTTATCTGTATTATCATTTATATCATCGGTTAGGTGTAGGTTGAATTATGTACCATAAAATATTCAAAAAAGGTTGTAAATTGTTTTTAACGATTGGAGAAAATTGAGAAAAATAACTTATGGCCTTTTTTTCAGGAGTAAGTGTGGTATAATGAAACGTGAATATTATATGTTAGATAATTTCTAAGCAACCAACCTGGTAGTTCTCATACTATATTATTTACCCTGATGAATCACACGTAACCAAGAGCTAACATTGTAAGCATTAGTCTGACATTCTTATGATAAACACCTGGATGCTTCCTATTGATGTTTATATCGATTTTCCTCGTGTATGTATGTAATACAGTTTTTCAATTTAATTAAATGTTACATGTTTCAAATTTGGCGCCTTTAATGTGTTCCACAGATTGACGTTTGTACCTGTCGTTACGTTGATATATATATTATCTGTTGATTCTTCTTAAGTGTGTGCAATACGTGTCAATGCTAATTATTGTAAATCCTCAAGTTAAATTAAATCTCAAATATCTATCTCAATCGTTGTTTAATTATCATTAAATTGTGAGTTATCAGTGTTTATAAGACTTATTGCATTTAAATGTTGATGTAAAGAAATTCTGCTTTCCGCTATGGGGATTGGGGCGAACACATATAAATGTGTCCGTTTACTGATCCGTTATTTACATGTAAGTAGTTGATTTGATTCACCAGACGAAACTTACTATTAAGTGTTTTCTTTATATTGCGCTTGTTGATGTAATGGTGGTAATGTAAGGCTGGGTTTGATTCTCACCGGGTCCAACACATTCGTAAAATCAATTAATATTTTTTCTAAAATTGTCTAGATAATCTGGTGTTGAATTGGGGGGGTAGGAAAGTCAGTAGATGGCGAATCACCGTCTACAGATGAAAAAACATCGACAACATTCGTTTGATCATGTTTTAGATTCAGCCTGTGAATTGCTCCTTGCTCAAAGCTGAAGTAGGTTGACAATGCCTCTTGTTTAGATATAATTTGTTCGGAGTATTTCACTGTCACAAACAATCTACTTGTATATGATGTTCTTTACAATATATAAGTTGTTCTTTAATAGCAACTGTTATCTTAATTATTGTGTACGTGACTAATTTAAGTTTCAATAATTAGAACATGATATTTTATTTCTCATGCGCTAATTTGTTACTGTGAAATAATAAAAGTATTACTAGGTTTTGTCTTGGCACGTAATTCAGGTTTTATTTTGTAACTCAGATTAGTTACAAAATAAAAGGCATCTTTCTGTACACGTGTCTGGTAAAGAGACATAAGAAAAACGTGATATTTGAATTTAGAACTAAAAACGGCTCATCACCAACGTGAATTTTGCCCGTTAGGGTGCATAAAAGCCTATATCCATTCAGTGGGGTCGGCCCCAACGGGGTATTTTATTAGAATCTTCGAATAATGTATGTCGTTAATGTTTTTCTCTTATCTATGATCTGAAGAGTTTGTTTGTTGTAATAAGTGTTGGTTAAAATTTTTATCGAGGAAAGCTTTAGTCTATAAAACATTCCGATGTGAATAATAGTGGGAAACTTTAAGGGTTTCCATTGCTTGCACTGCCAAACGATCCAAGATACCCAATACATATGTCTAAAATAATAATTTCTCAAAAGTCTGTGACACTATATGTCTATGTTTTTAGACTAACTTGCAAAAGCGGCTGGGCGCGACCGACGTCTTGGCATAAATTTATAAAGATGAAGAAGAGGTTGTTTTGGACACACAAATTTGGTTGAATATGGTTTTATTTTGTTATTCACTTGTTTATTGGTGTTGATAAGTATAATCGACACACAAACTTTAATCAACCGATGGATTAAATTAATATTGGCCGTTTAGAACATTAAAAAAATAAAAAACAAGAGATAAAGACAGTCGTATACAAAGAAGCATTCGCTGAACTTAAAATATTAAAACTGGTTTTCAAATGTAATTTAATTTTGACATTTCAAGTTGAAGTAAAATATGTGAAGCCAGGTAATAACGTAGTGAACGAAAACTTTACGAAAGATTAGTGCAATGAAATGAAAAAAAAACACTAAAACAGCGATGATTTGATGACTTAAAGAAATCTTCATAATAAAGATATTTCAAAGTATGTTGGAGTGCCATCTGTGGGAAATTTAAATAATCTAGAATAGAACGGTATCAACGTAGGTATTAAAAATTATACGGAAGTGCATTAGAATATCTAGACTTGTTAAATCTGCACTACACATTTGTAATAACTTAAATGCCATATAAAAATCTCGATTTTATCAATAAGCTAATGACTGAATAAGACTTCCTTTATTATATTTGCATTAGAATTCCGGAGTCGGTTAAATTAATTTAAATTGTTATTTAACGAAGTTTGTTCAGAACAGGAATCAATTTTTCGATTTTTATTATATTTCCGCAAGGAATGTGTTGAATTAAAAAAAAAGTAATTCGAAGTAGTTTAGCATTACATATTTTTTTTAATCTGACTTGGTTTTGAAGAATATAGAAGTAAGTTAAGAACGTGTTCCCAGGCCTGCACGTAGCAGCCTGGTGGTGTTCTGGTCAGGTATTATCTCCGAGAATGTACATGTCCCCGCGTCACTGTTGCCGTACGTGAGCGTGCTAAGAAAGAAGATATTCGGAAGTACCTTTGATAACCGTCTATCGTTAAATGAAAAGAGTTGATGACGTCAACATCGTCCAAAGAATTAAGTAATAGACTCTAGTAGCCCGGAAATGTGCACAGAATGGGGGATGAAAAGTTGATGGAGACGATGGCTGCAGTGGTGGGATGAAGTTACTAGGGACCAGATATGGAAGAGGACTTGAAAAGACTACGTACGGTCTATTTTGGGCTGATGAATAGGAAGTTTAAGGCTTTTTATTATTTTACTTTAATGCCTAGAAACTATTTTGTAAAGCTTAGAAGTCTAAGTAACTTAACATTGAATATTTTTAAAGTACAGTAGGAGGTAGATATTGTGACTGACATTCCAATTCAACTATTAAGAACCGGTATTAAATTTTAGTAGCCTTAATAAATATCCTTCTAAGTAGGTAGTAATATTAATTACTTTAATTTTACTATGAACTACAACTTATACAATAAATAATAATATAGAAAAGTATATAATAACATGTTATTACATAATACGTTCTTATATATATAGCCCTGTAAAAAGGGAATTTATCTCGTCAAATTATATGTTGTACAGTAAACCTACCAGGACACAAGCTAAAGTGCTAAAACTTTCGCAGACGAGTATGCGTTTTCGAATTCCTGTGCCAGTAATGTAAATACAAATTAGACACCGCAAGTGTTAAGCAAATAATTCGGATATTGTCGCTTAGAAGCTTATTTAACTACGTCATTGCGGAATAGCACTTGTGTTATGGCAAATATTTTTTCCAAACGTTTCCTGCACTTGAGGTTATCTTGATGGAAGATAAAATGCTCAAGTCCACAACATCTAAACAAAATGCACGGCCGACCTCTTTGACTTCTTACTAAACATAAAAAATGAAATTTCATATAAGACATTAATTTATTAAAGATAAATAAAACGTGTTATCCAAAGCCCAATGCGATACAAACTGTTTTTTCCGGGGTGCAAGCCCTTGCTTTAACTATTGAACTTAGGAGCTAAGCCACCGATTTACCAACAAGCACATTTATTCGAATTTAATTACTCCAATGAAGAAACCGGAAACATTACGAAAATCAAATTTTATAAAATTCATTACCGAGTACAATTTTGTTCTACAAAATATTGCAGTCGAAAATTGCAACAGCCTGATGCAAACATCGTGACTCGGTGAATCATTATTTTCTATTATCGTTATTATTTTTAGCCTGCAAGTGTTTGGGATAGATTGCCTAACACGTTGTTTCGAAAGGAAAACAATTGAAGGCATGTTTATACATCAAACGAAAGGGAATACCAATAGATGAAACGTGCCTATAGATAGGGAGGACAGACCCACCACGCCTTTGTGTGGTTTAGGTTTTAACAATTACCATAGCTAAATTATTGATTATTTATAAGATCGATATTTCATTACAAAATGAGAAATTTCCTCGGAAAGATCACACACGAAATAACATTTGCAAGTTTAAAATTCTGGTCCTCATGGTCTGAAATTGTGTGCTATATGCTTTGCTTTGTTACAAGTACACATTTAAATGAGACATTTATAACGGTTGAAAACGCAAAATATATAAGTCAACTTATTTCCAATTATTTAACTACGGTTCGATATTTCGGATGCTTCCAGCAACCGCAGCCACTTTGGTTTTCGTTCTTTTTTTTTTTTATTCAAGTAGCGAACAAACGGGGTGTATTGGAAGCTTTGGGGGGAGGCCTATATCCAGCTGTGGACCCTAACTTGTGGACTGACACATAAGTTTAGTATTAAATAATATTGAAACTCACCACTATTTCTCTCCATAAACCTCTTGTAAGAGTCGACTATCGACATATTGTAGCCTAGATTAGCACCTGGAATCAAAAAGAGACATTTTGTTAAACAACCATACTAATAATTATAATAATAAAATAAAAAATAATAAATGCTCTTCCCGCTACCACTAGTAAAAAATATAATGTTTATTTTATGACTAATTATTATAAAATATTTAAATAGTTAACTCTGTATAGATGACACAATGCTTTATAAACGGTTTAAAACGCCAATTTTATGTTCATCAGAAGCTATGTTTATCTCGGTGTTCAAACCTACGACGATTTACACCTAACAAAGCACGTTTTTAACGCCCTTCACATTCGTTTTAATCTTTGTTAAACAAGCACAAGGTTCGATTTCTCACAATAAAACTGTTCAAGATTACGTAAAAGCACATAACATAATAATTCATAAAGTTAATATTATTTTTACTCCGAATTCAATGCTATATAGCTTTGTCACTTAGATGTAAATTTTGCATGTTCTTGCTATATTTACCTTTGGATTTCAGTTAAGTTCAAGGAAAAACTATTATTAACTGACTGAGAAAAAGAGTATCTGGTCATATTTTTTTTTAATTACGAAGGAGGATAGACAATGAGGTTCTCTCGTTGGTAGGTAAAATACTCTAGCCTATAGCATCTAAACAAGATGCGCTGTCGGCCTATTTTTGTTTTAGATACAGAATAATAAGAAAAAAGTTGGACCCGTTGATTATTAGCCGTACATTGCTACCATTACACCAACGAGCCCGTCGTATTGTCTGTAATTTACCTGAATAGGATTTTTACTTAAATGAGAAATATATAACTTATTTTTAACAAATATGCCCTGTTTCCCCGTTCCCGGATCACGGCTGCTGAAAAGCATCCGAAACGTCGGGCCGAAGTTAAAAATCATTTTCAAATAAGTTGAACTAATATATCGCGTTTTAAACCGTTAAAGTGTTTTATTTAAATGTGTACTTCTCGCGTAAACTATAGACAGTATTTGAAAAAATCCAGCCAAAAAACATCTACAACATAATATGGTGTCGACCTATTTTGGCTTTGGATATTCGGAAATGCACAGACTGAAGCCGCACCGCGATTAAACATGGCTGCTTTTTCGGTGGTGGTTTGTGATACCACCCATTAAATTTATAATTTGTTTAGTCAGAATATATGCTTTATAAAACGCAATATAGTTTTATCATTTAATTATTTTATATTAAATAAGGTGCACAAATCTGTACTCCAATTTAATTATTTACATAAGAGCGTCATTGTGGATGTAAACCGTTTCGAGCCGTTTAATTTGTTTAACTTAAATACTACTCTCGTAGACTATAGAAAATGCTTGCGATATATTATTAGAATAAAACCATGACCACAACTGCTGACTAGCTTTTCAAACATCGAATCGTAAAAAGAAGTTAAATATTTCTCATTTACAAACGTTCCGTATTACTCGCGTTAGCTACAGAGACTACGATGATTTTTTTAAACTCATTTACTTGTTCTGAACAAACATCACATGCACATGTTTTCGAGAATAATATATTCGATCGTTTTATCACGATTTCAGTAAAATTAAAGACGATACCGGTTTCAAATAAAGTTGATTAACCCTTTATAACGACAGAATGCCAAGAACGGGTTATATAAATAACTTGCAGTTACAGGCTGTGTTACAAAAATATAACAAATAAACAAAACAGCTAAGTGTCTATTTGTATTAAATTGTCTGGTATTTGTATTTGAAGTTAAATAAAAAACTTTTAACGGTTTAAAACGCGAAATGTATTAGTTTTATATACATATTTACAAATTATTTTTTACTAAAGCCCGAAGTGTACCAACTATGACGGAACAGATGGTGCTAGCGTAGCGACCTTTACTTTGACATTACATTCTCCATCTTTAGTTGAGTTTGAAATTATTTTGTTCATTTCGCGTTTTAAACTGTTAAAATTATTTTATTTCATGTGTCGCGTAAACTACAGAGAGTATATAACTAGTACTGTGGTTAAATTAAGTCTTAATTTAATTATGTTGCGCTGACATTATTCTATTGTCGTATGAACTCTACAAATTTGTAGAATTAAACCTTTATAGTACATCTTGCGCCATTGTTGTAACATATACTACGGGTATTGTTGTAACTCAATTCTCTTAAGATTTCCCACGGAAAATATGGGTTACATTTCGTGACATTCTGGCTTTTAAGTGATTTTATTTAAAAGAAATCGTTAGAAACAATTGGCTTTTATTTGTTTGCGAAATAATATTTATAAATTATAACAAATGGGGGCGAGTTTCTAGCCAATTGTCTTTTTTATTATGAGAACAACTCATATTATATTGATTCTCCAAACTAAACTCCGCTTCTGGCTACATAAGACTTTTGATATAAATAAAATTTAAAAATCGAAAATAAATTGAAATCTGGGACCGCTCTCACCCCGTCCTAACCTCACGTGTTTTTCAACTTTTGATATATCCCTCGCACCTTTTGAATTACCAAATGGGGCAAGGGGCTAATATAATTCTGTGTCCGTTTCAGTGATCGGTTTTTTATTTACAGGCAAATAATTAAACAAACTTTCTGTGCCCTGTCCGTCCAAAACTTTCTTTTGTTTCCCCGGGATTCGTAATCAGGATCTCTCACTGTTAGCTACAGACGCTGTCAGCTAAGGGAACTGTTTTTTTTGTTAATTTCTAACTCCCTTAAAAGAATATCAAAAAAGATAATACATTTCCCGGTTAAAGATTTTTTTATGATAGTCAGCCAAGCATAGTGTTCACTCGATGTTAGGTAAAACACAACCGTGTAACATCTAAACAAAATGCACTATCAACATCATATCATTTTGTTTTTTGCATCCTCGGAAATGCACAGACTGACTCGAAATGCTATTAAACTTGACGGCGTTCTCATCTGTGGACAATGTTTCGTGACTTGGAAGGAATTTCGATATTTACCACAGATTATCAAAGACCAACATGTTTCAGAAGAAAATATACACCAACGAACACGTCAAAAGTTATTTGATGTTAAGTTTGCTAAAGTGAGAAGGTTTTTCCGTTATTATAAGGCTATCAATAATATGTAAGCAAATACTTAGTTCCTTCTGAACAATAAGGGAACTAGAGTTATAATTTTTCTGGATTTGTCACCTACCCTCAAACTATACATTTTATTTTCTCCATGCCATATGAGGAGCTAATTAGCCTGAATACAAAGGTGTCAAAGTCACAGAGTTAATTATCGCATACCAAAAGAGATTTCGATGGTTGTATGCACGGTGGACGGCGTTACAAGGTCACTCGGACGTCCGAAAACAGAAAGTCGTAAGATTGGAATCGTGTTGTGATGTAAGAACAACTTTTTAACAACGTACAGTGCCTCGAAGTTATCAAATAGTATTGTAATGGCGAAATTATTGGATCGGTATTGTTTTTAAATAGATACGTTTTATTAGCTATTTGTTTATATCTATATATTATTTACAGCTTATACCTTACAACAGACACGGTAGCTCAATTGGTTGAAGCAACAGAACGAACGTCAAATTTTTTATTATTTTTTCAAACAGAAAAAAACGGGTTTCAAAGTTTTTATCATGTAAGATAAAAATTTTCTATTGCTTCCAAATTTAGCCGCACGAAGCAATGGGAAAATTACAATTCCATGAATCTAGACGGATGGTTCTTTATCACTATATAATTATAACAATAAGCAATTAAAATATACTGTCAAAGCTAACGAACCAACGCAATATATCTTCCTCCTCCTTGAGTCGTATTCCTCAATCTTGAGGGTCGTGACCAGCCCCAACAACGATTTTCCGAACGGTGGAACGCCAAATTGGCCTGTTTTCGGCTACCCGTAGAGCCTCATGTACCGTGGACTCGAGCGTGGTACGGATCTGGTCAGTCCAACGCATTGGGCTGCGGCCGCGTGATCTTTTTCCTTCCACCTTGCCAGTAACAACCAGACGCTCTAGGTTATCACCCTCCTTCCTGGCAATGTGTCCAAAGTACTCTAATATACGCTTTAGGCAGATGGTAGAGAGCCTTGTTTGGACCTTGAGCTGAGAGAGTATGGAGGCGTTGGTTCGAAATGCAGTCCAAGGAATACGGAGCATTTTTCTCCAGCACCACATCTCGAAAGCATCAATTCGTCTCCGGTCAGTGGTTTTTATGGTCCATGTCTCAGATCCATACAAGAAAATGGAGAAAACAAGAGTGCGGACGAGTTCGATTTTCGTGTGTAGTGATATGTGTCTGTCCTTCCAAGTTTTGTGCAGCCGAGACATGGCACTTTTGGCCATTCCAATACGTCTTCGTATTTCAGGTTCACAAGAACCGTTGCTCGTGACTGTGGATCCCAGGTAAACGACTTCTTGAACAGCTTGTAGGTTAAGTGCACCAGTGAGCCGCAGGGTGTCATTCCTATCAATGACCATGATTTTAGTCTTCTGTTTATTGATAGAAAGGCCTAGTTTATTGCTGATCTGTTCCATTCTTTCCAATAGTGTGCACATTTCGGCTTCATCTGCAGCTAGAAGTGTAGTATCGTCTGCATATCGCAGGTTGTTTAACCTAACTCCTCCTATACGCACGCCTCCACGCCATTGGTCGCAGGTATGCCTCATTATGTATTCACCGTAGGCATTGAATAGAATAGGAGAGAGGATGCAGCCCTGGCGTACACCCTTCCCAAACCTGAACGACCGAGAAATTGTTTCGTTGACTCTAGCGACACCCTGGCTATTATAGTAAAGAGCTTGGACAAGTGCCGTGATATGTTTTGGGACTCCCAGTTCTTCTAGTACTCCCCATAGTGAGTTCCAGTTGACACAGTCAAAAGCCTTGCTGTAGTCTACGAAGCACATGATCATTGGCGTGTTGTACTCATAGGCTTTTTCGATGACTTGTCTGACATTTAGGATTTGCTCCCGCGCACCTTTCCCCTTCACAAAGCCTGCCTGCTCTTGCGGAATCTGCCAATCTAAGTAATGGCGGATGCGTCTGTTGATTATGTGCAGCAG